ACGTTAACGTGCACAAAAAATAATGAAGTAGAGCAGGCAGTTGTATCAATGTAGAAACACTGAGTTTGAGGCTTTGGTGTTATCTTGGTCAAGTCCAGCATGTAGTTTCCTTCTTCCATGTATGAAGCTTGTATTTATTGATCATTCAAGTTTTGGTATAAGAGCCTTCAAATCTGATCATCAGTTAGCACTGGAATTTCTTTGTTATCCTTATTGGTTTGAGCTCAGAGGGCAACTGAGCACCACACAGCTGCTCACTCCCCCAGCCCTGAGAAGGTGGAAAGAAAAGACCCAGGAACTTCATCTAAGGACAAGGAGGGATGATCTCATCCTTTAAGGCACAGGCAAAAGACAGACTCATTAAGAAAAAAAAAAAAAAGATCATAAATTTAATACAGACACTAACAATGACAACAGTTAAGAGACAGAGTAGAACTGTGAGAAACTTTATCACATCTTGAAATCACCTTCTCCCATCCCATCCTTCTTCCCAGGCTCAGCTTTGCTCCCTGTATCTCTATCTCCTTCTCCCCAGCGGTGCAGGGGGCAGGGAGTGGTGGGGGTAGTCAGTCCTGCCACTTCTTCCATCTCTGGTGGGGGAACTCCTGGCATTCCTTCTCTGTTCCAGTGTAGTCCTCCTTTCACAGGAAACAGTCCTCCACAAAACAACTCTGACATGAGTCACTCCCACAGGTGTGTGGGTCACCCCTGCATGTTGCAGTCTTCCCAGTACCAAACTACAACAGCAGGGTCTTCTTCCCTTGGGGTCCCGGCCTTCTTCAGGTGCAGTCACCTGACTTGGCATGGGGCCCCCCACAGTCCACAACAGACACCCGTAAGCAGCCCGGCCGTCTCACCATGGGATACACAGGGGAGTCTGTTCCAGTGCACCTACCCCTTCTCCTTTCTTCCACTGACCTTGGTGTTTTCACAGATATTCTCCTCACAACTCCTCCCAGGTTCCCCTTCTTAAATATGTTATCATGGAGGTGCAGCTGATTGGCTTGGCCTTGGTGCAAAGGTGGGGTCTGACTTGGAGCCAGGGGAGCTTCAAGAAGCTTCTCACAGGGGGCGACCGCTGTAGCCCCCTCCCTTGCTACCAAAAAAATCCCTGCTGCTCAAACCAGGACAATCAGTTAGGTTTAATCATTTTGTTTCATACTGATGCCATGGGCTTAACGTTTTTAATTAATTCTCAGGCTTGTAGAAGTACATTGTCCTCCTCACCTTTTAAGGATGTTTCTACTTTCCCACAATCAAATGAAAAAGCCAAGAAAACAGACTAATATTGTAGCTGCATGCTTGATAGATCTGGTTGACATATTAAAAATTTAAGATTTCTAATGTGTGTTCCACAGTTCCTAACACCTTGTTTCCAGTAGATGCTTTGAGAACTGATTGTCCTATGCACGTAAAAGGATATGTCTGTCTTCCTACAGAGTGCATGTTCTCAGGTGCAGTGGAACCAAGGGCATGGCATTTATCTCCTGTATATGCTCACTATGATCAGTATTGCATTTCTGAATATTTCCTAGGCTTTTACACCCATATATTAAATAATAAAGCTATATAAAACATTACTCTCTCAGAGTTAAGGTGGCCCAGGACGTTATCTTTCTCCTTTACTTACAATCCATAGTTTATCACTATATTCATGTTTTTAAATGTAGGTAATAAATGTATTTAAAGTCTGTTGTATTACCTGATTTGGGACCTTTATGTGATCACATGTGGGTGTCTGTAGTGTAAGTGTCCACACATCTTATATTAAATGGAGAGAAACAACCCTTTCAAGGATTAAGTTTGTCTTGTCACAAAGTCATGTCTAACGCTATTCAGATGAGCCACAGTGTGAAAGTGCCTGTTTCTCCTCACTGCCTGCAAAGAGAGTTGAGTGTGATTTTCCTCAGAATTAAATATCTGTAGTGTATAACTAGGTAAGATGAATATTACTTGATGTGGCTTTTCAGGTGGTATGGAGGTATGCATAGAGAAATATGACAGGTCAGCCGTGGACGAAACAGCATGATACAAGAAAATGTGACATTAAAGAAGTTCTGGTCAGTAAGCTCTCAGCAGAATCCAGATGGGAGTGATATGTTTCTGGATGTCATCTATGTACAGCTAATATTGATTTGAGCAGATACGTGTTTGTATTTTGCCAGTCCTTTGCAACTGATTGGTCATGATATCATTGAATACTATGGGCCTGACTTTGACCTTGTGTTGTGTCACAAATAAATTAAGCCTTTTTTCTATCAGAGCAATGGAATGTGTATTTTCTAAGGCAAGAAGAAAGATCTAGCAGATATGAAGACCTGGATATTGTTCTTGCCTCTACCTCAGAATCCCGTTTGACTTTAGGAATTCCCTTAGATTCTATGGGCCTTAGTTTTTTATCTTTTTTTTTTTTTTTTTTTTTTTTTTTTTGAAAGGAAGCCCTTGAGTAGATGAATAATGTTTATCACCAGTCATGTTTCAGCCATCCTCATTCTGTAAATCCTTGGGACAATTGATGGCTTAATTCTGCCTTGAGCTGAAGCTTTTGCAGTCTCAATACTGGCTGTTGCAGTATGAGACTAAGTAATATACAGGTCACTACAGCTGTAGCCTTCTAACTTTCAGGGCTTGGTGAGTCCAGATATTTATATGCTGCTCTTAAGGTGTTTAAGAGTTTGATGTAAATTATGGCTGGTATCATCCGTGAAGACAATGGTGGCAATCGTGTCCCATCCATCAGTGAGATGACTCATTCTGAATTAGCTGCCTTTGCCTGAGAAGATGCAGTAGAGGTGTTTCTTGGGGTCAAAATAGCACTGTGAGGAGGAAATGCACAAAGCACCTGATTCACAGGCTTTAACTAGGGCAACAAGTTCTTTGCTGGGTGAATACCATTGTTGCATGTCTCTGAAGAGACAAAGTGTTCAAATCCGTGAAATATAATCCTTGTTTCTTTGGAGGCTTCACATCTCCATGGGGCTGTGTGAGGTCAGGAGGAGGAATACACTGACAAAGCTGTGCTGTCTTCTGCAATAGTCCAGTTCCAGGTGTGCTTGACTGCTTGTATAAACGAGAATAAAAAAGAGATATGACAAATTACAAGCTTAGCCCTTCTTCAGTTTTTTAGAGCTATTTGTCACTGGCATCTATCTGTCTTGAGCTGAAGTTTTAACAAGAAAGCCCAGCATTTTGGCCCTAAATCTGCTGATGATAGCAGGTAAAGGAAAAATGCTCTAGCAAGAAACCCCCTCCCCAGCTGGGGTCAATTGTCAGGAAGCAGAGATTTTAAATGGAAGTTGAATGTTTAGGAAAAAAAGGCCTTGCCATAAATGTTATTAAAAATGTGGAAGAGGTGAAAGCAGTGCTGGCTTGGAGTCTTTTCTAAAACTTCCAGTCCTCAGCAAAGGAGAACAAAAAAATACTAACCTTTTCTAGCTAGTAAATTGTTACAGATTTTGTCAAGCAAAACTAAGGATTAATCAGGACACAAATACTCTTGTTATTGTTAACATTTTTATAATGGTTATTAGTTAATGTGCATGATGATTAAGGGCTGGAGTTCCCTCTGATTGCAGTCAGTGGGAACTGAATTAAGGTCTAAATCACTGTTTGAACTTCACTTTAGATTTCCTGAAAAATAATGAGGCTTTGAACAGAACAGCATCTAATTTGTCTATCACTGGAAATGAATGTTTCTCTTCCATCATGCGTCTATTAACTTGAATGTCAGGCAACTAAAAAGAAACTGGTTGTTTAACTCATAGCCTTAATCTAGGATTATGACTTGGATGACAGGACCAAGACCAGAAACAAGACTGATTGTCAGAGATGCTGCTGAGTCTGCTGTACAATGGGATTGACACATACTTGCAGTCGGTACCGCCATAGTTCAGACTGTCTATCAAACCACTGGCCATTTGGACTGTCCCAGGGAGTTGTTGAGGCCAGCAGTGGCAGTCCAGGGTAACCTCAACAATGGAAATTGTCCTGGTTCAGCTAGGATAGGGTTAAGTTTCCCCAGCAGGGGGAAGGGATCTCCAGCTGGGTTATTCATACAACAGGTCTGGCGCGGCAGCGCGGGAAGCTTTTTCCTTTGTGGCTTCGGATGTGGGAAGCATGCACGGCGGGCTGGCTGTGTTCACTGCGGTATTTCTCTGTATATCTTTTCTCTTGTTTACTGTTATTACTGTTTATTGTTATTATTGCTATTGTTTTTGTTCAGATTGTTTATTACACTGTTGTATTAAATTTTTCCTTATTTTAACCCCGGGGTTTGTGCCCTACTCAGTCTGAGGGTGAGGGAGGGACAACGGCAACGTGGTCTCCAGTCCCAGCAGGGCCTAAACTATCACAGAAGTAAAGCCTGAGTCCGTAAACCCCTTATTTGCAGTGCTTAATATCTTTATGTTGTTGCTCAGAGTGAGCAATCATTTTCTGAGTCAACCTGACATTTATTTTATTAATGGAACACTTTTTATTAAATCAGAAGTGATAAAATGTCTCAGGATGAAATGGGTTTTTAAAATTTCTTAATTAATGAGGGAATATTGATCATTAAGAGTGTCAATTAAGCAAATGTGCATAAAATGTCCAATATAAAGGCACAGCTGTAATTAGTATGCTGGCAAACACTATTATCTCATCAATTAAAGTCTTCTGTATCCCACCCAGAACTGAAATGCATCCTTCTGACCAAACCAGGAGACACATCAAAATGTCACACACCGAGGAGAAGAGAGACATGTCTCCATGTAGAAAGAAGTGAAGGGGTTGGAAATAAAGAACTCATAAACACAGTGCCATTGACTTGATAAAATGGTTGAATTTCTCTCAAATTTTCAAGATTATTTTAGGGAAAATGCCAAAATGCTTTCAAAATGATCAGTTCTTACTTGTCAGTATGGGTTTAGGTCCAGTTAATCAGGATCTTCTGTGGAATAAATATCTCAGACATTAATGGTATCTGTTGTTTTTAATACCTTTGTATTAATCTTTTACAGGTCTATGATGGGGTCTGGTAGAGAGCCTGATCTCGTGCACCTAGAGGCAAAGACAGTGGATGGTCGTAAGTAAATCCAGCTTCCAAATATTGTGGTGTTCTGGATTGCCCTCATATTCTTTTAACCACACAATATCATGTGTGGTTAAAAGAATATGCAAAATCTGTCAGGATATCTGACTTCTCTTTAGTTATTCACTCACTTAATATGAGGGGTTTGACTGTTCCAAGGGAGATCTGTCAGAAGAGAAGTATTTCCAGCAAGGCAAAAAGTTGAGATTAACAGACTTTGGAAGGAGCCAGGATCATGGTAAAGAAGAATAGGTGATAAGCAGTATTTGGAGTTAGTATACACAGCACTGCTCTTCCTATGTGATTTTTGTTCATGGGAACATGGCATTGGAGAGAAGTTCCTGGGTCACAGTCTACCTGCTGTTGTTTGACACAGTACATAATATCACCTTGTTTGTAGCTTTACAATTTTAACAGACCAGGGATACTCTGCCTTAGGTACTACCTTTGAAAATACCTCATTTCTCTCACGTTAGAAACCTTCTAATGACCAGCCTAAGTGTATCCTTCACTGCTATTGCTGGCCCTGTCATTGTCCTTCACTTTCATCAGCTCTTCTCCCTCCCTGATTTGCCTCTTAAGGTCTTTCCTCCATTTCAGGAGCCTCCTTTACCTGCAACTCCAAAAGTTTCTCCTAATTGGCTGTAAATTCTCTCAGGTACCCTAAGCCACCCGCTGGCCTTTCCTCCTCCCACCCATGCTTCCTCAAGGTTTATCTTTGAGCTCCCCTACCTTTGCAAGTCTTCCTCCATGGATTTCTTTTCCAGAACATGGGATTGCCTCAGGTGGGCATCACACCGAAAGCCTGTCTGCCATAGATCTCATCATTGTAATTCCATATTGTTTCCCCTGTAAATAGCAGCTTTGCTGCAACATAACAAGCAGATTTTTTCATTTGCAATATTTAAGTATTAATGATGCACTCAATTCCTTTAAAAATGAATAAAATTGTCCCTGGAATTGTACCCACAAATGCAGTGGTGTTACTTAAAATGTGTAGCTTTTTTGTTGGAAATTTGAAAACTGTCTGAAAAGGTAACTCTAAGGTAATCAGTTTTCTAACTCACTGAAATTTAGCATGAAAGAGAATTTTTTTGGAAGATGAATTTTGAGAAGAAACAGTTGCGATAGAAATCATAAAACTTTAAAGGTCTTTCTATTTCAAGATATGCAAGATTAGTAAAAGTGAAAGAATGTTTTATCTCTATTTCTTATCATTTCTGATCTCTGATTATTATTTCTCCTCTCAGTTTCACTTACCTGAACATGGCAGCAGAGCTGGGAACATGGAGCTTTCTATTTCTTAGGACATGCTAAATGAGAATGAAAGATTTTAACAGGACAGTATCTATTTCAGCACAAAATATTACTGTTATAAGGCATTAAGAATTTGAGGTCACTGAGATGAAGCACTATAATTGATGTTTAAGGAACTATATTCTGATGATGCTTTTGAGGGATGTTCATCTCACAGTGGACAGAGAAAGTGCCATGCTCCAAATGCCTTGAATGGTCTTGTTTGAGTTCTTAGGCTGCAATAAGAACATTTTGCACAGCTGTAGCACATTTCTGCAAAAGACTTCTTGAGTGCTTTATTATAGCTCTTAGGGTAGAAACCAAAAAACAGGTAGATTGAACCAGCCTCACTGAGGAATCAGGCGTATTAGTAAAGAATTGTAGAAAAACAAATTATTGCTTGGCAGCTGAGCTCTAGTAACTGGTTCTGCACACTTACATTGACTTAGTTGTGAGGCAGCACAAGTTAAGTTCTTCTCTTTAGGCAGTGACAGAACTACTAATGTAAATATAGCAGTGTCAATGTAAATATATAATGTAAATATGTAATGTAAATATAGTGGTGTCAAACCTTGCCCCTCTCCCAAAACAGTCGTTCAGATGAAACTTCTGCTCATGAATCAGGAGGTTCCCAGCTCAGCTCATTGTCAATATAAGAAAACGTGTTGGATTTTCAGTAAATTCATGCTCTTTTGCCCATTATTCCAAGGAGCGTTGGTCTCTGGCAGAGGACTATGGTAGGTAGCTGGAAGCAGTAACCTTGAAACATATCACAGCATTTTTTGCCAGAAGATATTTGGTAGCACCACAAGTCACAGGATTTTGAGACTCAAGAGTGTGCACGTGGTCTATTCCGCTAGTTACCATGACCAACTTGGTATATTCAGGTGTCTTGGCTACTAGAGATTTCTTCTGAGTACTAAATCAGTATCCTTTTCCTGGATCAAGTAACCATGACCCTCCAATGGATGAACAACCTTTTCTCCTTTGGAATGAAGCAGGTGTGTTGCTGCCAGTGGGGTGATGGACTACGCTAAAGTGAGATAGATTCATTTTCTTCAAGTTGAGGGTAATTTGGAAATAATTCTTCTTGTTTTTTTTTTTTTTTAATGTTCTTGCATTTACTTATTTATACTTTGTTTGCAGTATCTCTTTTGAGAGTTAACCGAGTGTAAAAATTCGATAAAGGGATTAAATTTGAGAAGGTAGACTTGCCAAAACAAGGAGAAAGAAGGAAAGAAAGAGGAGTGGTGTGGAAGCAACCACACAATCTGTACAATAAAATAATAGATCCTGAAGTGGAAATATAATGGCTAATCAAAAACCTGCTGAACTCAGTACAAATAAGAAAAAACACCTCATTCTTGTGCTGGTATCTTTTCCAGCAGAAGCTGAGTAGTACAACTGCAGATTTAGGTGAGAAGAAGTAGAAATGTCAGCAGAGTACAGTGTTAGCCCATCTCATGGCAGGGCTGTTTGAGAATGTCTGTCAGCAACAAACTTAGTACTGTGCTTTCCCTACTAGAACACCAGTAACTCTCTATCTCCGCTTCTTGATTATGGTCTGCCTCTGCATTTTATTTATTGTGTTTATATACATAATGTAAAAGGTTTACAAGGACCAAAATAGGAGTCTCTTAGTAGGCATAAATCAGTATAACTTCAGTGGTATGTTGATTTACACCCACTGAGTATCCGGGTAGCAGTGTTGTTCCTGAGTGCATGTTATTCCTACTGGTTTTTTTTTCCTCGGGATACAGAAAAATCTGGACTTCTTCTGAATACACTGTCTCATCAGACTAGGATGCGGGTAGGGATGAACACACTGAGTACAGACTGCAATTTAGTTAAATTGATGGAGACATATTTGCAGGGCTAATCATTACCATCTATGTTTTTAATCCTGTTGTGTAAATTTTGGAGAGCACTAGGCAAATTTTCAGCTTGTCAAATATGATGGTTTTGTTTATTTTTTAACAGCTTCAGGCCTCATCCAAGTCAAGCTGAGACTGAGAGCATAGTGGTAAAACTAATTTTTCTGGTTGGAAGAAGTTCATATGAACCTTATCTCACATTTCCATTTGTACATTTGTGTGTCCCTAGCGTTCCACTTTGATTTTGGAACAGGATCAAAGATGAGACAACAAAGTCAACAGGAATTATAATTTTCTTTTGCCTGGTTTCAGGTCAACACCCCAGTAAGACAATTAATCCCCTACAGTTCTTAACCACGTGATAAGCTGCTCTTTGTTACATTCACCACCATAGACAGCAGGCAGAGTGACTGGTGGAAGTTAAGTCCAGGTTTGCTCAAATGCAGCTTGAAGTGCTCTCAGAAGGTGTATAAACTTAGAGACATGTGGGGTTTAGGTTTGTAAAGAATATACAAGTTCTGAAAGAACCTTAATTAAGGGGCTTATCTGATTTGAGCTAGGGAGGGTTATCCTAGTAAAGCCTGATTCAAGCTAATTGACATGGGAGGTATTTTTTACTCAGGTGATGCCTACTGAGGAATCCAGAGTGTTGGTGAGACTTAGAAATATGGATTCCCACAAGGCATTTGGAGACTAACTGGGTACCCACTGACACTCCAAAGAATGGCAAGGTTGACTCAGAGGCTAAGTGACAGTTTCTATAGATGCAAGTCAAGAAAACCAACTGTTACATTTATGAGATATGCCTTTGCTTATGTAGATAGATTCCAATTGATTTTGAGTAAATTTTTCAATTTATGATTAGGGTTTTTTTTGGTAAGTGTGGATGAAAGAAGCTAAGAGGTTTGCCGATGTCCAGGCAAAAATTTAGAGGGCTGATGATATTTAAAAAGTCTTGTTTCCTTTACTTTTCTTCTGCTGTCCTGATTTACACAACAACTTTTCTTATTGAAAAGTAATTTAGATGCTGCTGTGATTGCAGGTAGGACCAAAGCCTCACCTGGGGTCCTCAGGCATGCTCTGCTTGCTGATTAACAGGGACTGAGCATCTGAGCCAATAGTCTCTGAATCACAAAGTTGTGCTAGGACTTTAATTTCAGTTTTCACAGAACTTTGCTAGGAAGAATAAAATCATTGCTTTGGAAATACCAAGTAGGCAACCTAGCCTGACAATCTTTTGCTACCATAGCTAGAGTGGTGACTTATTTCCTATAGTGCCCTAAACCTGTGCAATGATTTTTTTTCCTGTTCATGATTAATATTTGTCTTGGAGAATGACATCTGTTGTTTTCTCCAATTATATCCTTATGCCAGAAATGGCAGAGGATATACTTCCCAATGTAAAGAGAGATTCCTGACTCTGACATGCAATGAAGAAAGAGTAGCAGCTGGAAAAATACAGATTTGTGAGTAGTTAGTAGATGCGGTGGCTTCATTTCACTGATCTTCATTACTGGTTAATTGCATTGCTCATAAACATTTCACAAATCAACGTTCAGACCAGATGGAAATGGATAAAGAACAGGCATTTTGTGTGTTTCTCAAATATGGAGTTGAAAGAGAATGGCAGTAGAATAAGGAGTAGAAGAGTATGGGAGAATGTTTAATGAAATTATGGAACTCATTGCATAAGGAGGTTGTGGATGCTGAAGGTGTACCTAGTCTACCAACACGTGTGGACAGATTCTTATAACCTTTTCTAGGCTTCTGTTATTAGTCACTGTTGGAGAGGGGTTACAGGCCTGGGTCTTTCAGTGAAGTATGTTACTACCATGTTCTTACAGTTCATTAGTTACAGGATGCCAGTCATCCTTCAAAAGCAGAAACTATCCCTAATGCCTAAGCTTTTGATTTGTCCTTAGTGGATTTATATGTAGAGAGAAGGACACATTTCTGAATGAATTAAAGACAAGAAAAGTAAAAATTATACACTTGCAGTGAGTACAGTGAATATTTTCTGACTGTCCTTGTGATCAACTAAGATTTTTGAAAGATATACATGCAAGCTCAGACTAGAAAGCAGTTGGCTAAGTATCCTGAAGAATAGCATAATGTCCTGAAAAGCATAATGTCCTAATTACCTATGGCAGGGAAAACAGCTGTGTGGGAAAAATAATGAAATTAATTCCAGAGTTTAGCAACTGAATACATTAATTGACATTAATTAATGCTAAGTTACAAAGCTCTGCCAATGGAATCACATAAAATGTCCATGAGAATGAAATGCCAAAACAAAATCCTTGAGTTAATGTGAGCACAGCAAAACTCCCCTTAGGGAAAAAGAGGGATCCAGGCGCTGCAAGCAGCCTGCTGCTTCTTCTTTCTGTCTCCCATAGCACAGGGAGATTTTCTTGGTGTGCACATCTCAGGTTTTGTCTGTTTGGGAGATTAGCTTAAGCAATTTTGGTGCTCTGCCCTTTAGTAGTTATTACTAGCATTTTAGAATTGAAGCCGTGGAGAATTGCACTGTAAAAGTTCACAGGAATTGCCTTAGTAAATCTTCATCAATGGTACAATCACTGCTGCACAGACTCCCGTGATCACAGCAGAAATAGACATAGTCCCCATACTTCCGTTAAAACAGGATCGAAAAAAACTTCAGTCACCTCTAATGGATGTCAACCTCGCCTGCTCTTTAAAATCTCTTGTGGAGGCGATTTCTTAATCTTCTTTGCTGGCTGCTCCTAGCAGCACCCATCTTTCTACCTCCCTGTGCTCTCAGGGTAAATAATCCGTTTGCATGGGATATAAGACAGCACTGCAGTCTTATCTTAGTATGTCCCAGATGGCCGATGCGCCTGTGGAAGTAAAAGAAAATAGTGGTGATGGGGGAAAAAAAAGAGAAAACAAAGTGGGAAACAGAGGTCTGATCCTGTACACTGTACAGATTTATGCTGAGTGATCCTATAGAGCACTACACTGGGTGATTCAGTCCCATGTATGAAAAACCACCTAGTCTTGCCAGCAGCACGAGGGGTGGCAGGCAGGGGGAAACAGCCGTTTGAACTGATGCTGCTTTGTTTAAACTCAGGATTGCCAGGCATTTCACTCGGGAACCTTCTTGAGAGAGAATGAGACCCCAACTAAGTACTGCATCCAGCTTTGGAGCCCTCAGCACAGGAGAGACATGGACCCTTAAGAGCAGGTCCAGAGGAGGGCTAGAAAAATGATCAGAAGGCTGCAACACCTCTCCTGTGAGGAAAGGCTGAGAGAGTTGGGATTGTTCAGCTGGGAGAAGAGAAGGCTTCAGGGAGATGTTATTGTGGCCTCCTAATACATAAAGAGGGCTCATAAGGAAGATGGGGACAAACTTTTTAGCTGGGCCTGTTGTGACAGGGCACAAAGGGTAATGGTTTTAAACTGAAAGAGAGAGTACATTTAGACCAGATATAGGGAGGAAATTTTTTACAATGAAGGTGGTGAAACACTGGAACAGGTTGCGCAGAGAGGTTGTGGATGCCCCTTCCGCAGAAATATTCAAGGTCAGGCTGGACGGGGCTCTGCACAACCTCATCTAGTTGAAGATGTCCCAGCTCATTGTAAGGGGGTTGGACTAGATGACCTTTAAATGTCTTTTGCAAGCCAAACCATTCTATGAATGTGGGGGCAGGGCTGTGGGGCTGTCCTTCATGATACAATGGATTGAATTAAACAGGAGGAGTGGGAAGTGAAAGTGTTGCAGATGAAGAGATGCACGCCCATCCTCTGTCTTAGGACAAGGAGGGGAAATGCTGCACCACACAGTACTATTGGGTGGTGGAAGAGGCTCTGGCTCCCTTGTCCCCTCCTTGCTGGGAGCAGAGGGACGGAGGGCTGAACAGCTCTGAAAGGGAACTTTCCTGAGCTCACTGGAATGAGCAGGCTGGGAGTTACGTCGTTCCCTGCCCTCTCGTGGCTAATGTGGAAAAAATCATGTTCCTCTGAAGGGAAATGCATTTCAATCATGCTGTCCGGGTTCTATTAATTAATGCTTTGCAGTGAGCTGTGAAAGCATAAAATGTTATAAACTGCAGTAACTAATAATACTTAGCACTTTATATATTCCAAGGACTCTGAAAATGCCGGCATCCCTCATCAAACTTCTGTGCAGGTTCGTTACCCTGCATGTCTGTTTCAAGCAGAAGTCAACAGCACTTAGATGCAAGGAAAGAAATGTCAAATGATAGATTTTAATTAAAACCAAGATTAAATAGAAGATGGTAAAATCCATCCATTTCTATTTCAGTGTAAAATGCTACTTCTCTGATCAGAATGTGTTAATTATATCAAAGAAGGGGCTGTGTTTCTCCAACAAGGAAAAAGATTAGAAGTAGTTCTAACATTAAATGCCATGTAGTGTTTCTGTCACATAAGTGCTAATGCTACAATGCCAAAATCCTTCTTCCTGTAGATCAGCTTTGTCATTAAACAAGGTGAAACTTCTTAATTTATCTGAAAGAGCCCAAATTGAATACTGAGAATATGGTTCTGTATTCTAGGATAAATTACCACCATGAAGAAATTCAAATTGTTTTTCTTCAGATGATGTATTATGAGATAAGCACCATTCAGTGCTTAATAATAGGAGATGAGGACATCCCGTATAGTGACAGTGGAAAAGATGGCTCTAGGGCTGGATTTAGGCCATTTACTTTGAAACATATGACTGAAGCTACTTAAAGCCTCTTGTTTCAAGAGAGTGTGGAATGATCACCCAGATTTGCTAGAGTGCATCTACCTACAGTGTCAACAGAGAAGTAGGTTAAAACCCCTAAATGTGAGGTAGTCTGACTTGCTGAGATGATCTGGATTACTCTGCAGAGTATAAGTGCTGTAGGAAATACAGAGTTTCACTGTGAAAGGGATTCTTACTGATGACACTATGGGGCAGGTGGCCTCTGAAAATATCTTCATTCTTGTGTATGCTCTGGACCTTGGTTGTGTTCTAAACAATTTCAGCATGTGACCATGGAGAAACTGCCATGCTCTACAGCAAATCCCACACCATGGACATGACAAGGAAACTGTAGAGGCTCAGCACAGAGACTATCTGTCCTGCAGCACAGACACAACTCTTCAGACCCATGGTTACTCTGGGAGTCACAGGACCTGGACTGTTTGTTGCCTCTGTAAAACTTTGTTGTTCCCCCACTCAGTTCCTTGCTTTAAACTTAAGCCTGGATAGCATCCAAGTAAACTCAGCAGGGCTGAATGATATGTCCTTGACTAGGTTTCTGTCAGACCTGAGCCCCAAGCATTACATTGTGCCACCTTCTGCCTCTGGTCTACTTCCCCAGGAGTGGCATGGAGTAATTGGAACAGCTACGCTGGGCTCTCTCTTGGTATAAAGGAGCAATGTATAAGTCTGCTGTATGCTATAGGTTGGAGTGAAAGAAATAATGGGAGGGTGAATCAGGTGAAGAAAGAACGTACTTAAGGGAAGAAAGTAATCAAGGGTAGATTTACGAGGGGTGTAAGGGAAAGAAGTGCTGTGCTGCATTGAATGGTTGATGTCACTTCATGTCGTGTGAGGCTGGGAAACGGCACTGATGCCTCAGAAAATAAGTTTGTGACAGTAGGAAGAATCTGTGCTCAGGGTCTTAAGTGTTTTGACTTTGTTTTTTTCCTTTCAGATGCCCAATACATCACTTGCAAGATGCAGAACTGCAGTGAAGCCACTCGCAGCAAACCTTTTCCAGGATATATTGACCATAACTCCTTGATTGTCCAGGATGATTATGTCTTTGTTCAGGTGCAGAACACCGTCTTCTCTTATTTATTCTACTATTTTATATTGTATTATTCTATTTTATATTATTTTCTCTTCCATTCCTTTGCATGTGTGTGTGTGTGTGTGATAGCTCCCAATTAATTAGGCAAGACTGGATCCAAATAATAAAGGCACTGAGTGGATTGTAGCAGTTCCTTACAATGTTCCTTTTACCTCTAGTTTCTTGTAAATGTAGGATCATAGAGTTTCTGCCTGGAGCATCCACCATATGTACTGGAGTGCTCTGTGCCACTCCCTGCAATCTCATCAGCACCCCAGGATTACTGCTCTAACCCCCCAGCTTGAAGTGATGTGTCAGTCTTCTGCTATTGCAAGGGTATAGACCAAAGCTTTTTTGAGCATGTGAGGGAAATAGAAAGGAGGGAGGAGTCAGGGGAAGAACCAGAGAAGGACTAATCAGGCTTTATTGTTATGCCTCAGTTGTGATTATAGTGAAAAGGCTGAAGATGAGATGTACTCAGCCAAGCTGTGTTCCAGGTGAGAGCTGGTGAATAGATCTGAACTACTGTGGGTTTCATTAGGCTTCCACCAGTGTCCATTTAATAACAGTTGAAGAGGACAAAAATAACAACAGAATTGCAGTGAACATGGAGGTGAACTGGAAATCATTAGGACTAAACTGGTCTTCCAGGCAGTTTATATTCTGCCATGCTTGGGGGTGGAGGGAAGAGAGAGGACTGATATTTTAAATTGGGTGAGTTGATTGCTAATTACCTTCAGTTAATGAACTCAGTCATAAACACCAGTCTAAATCATCCACAAATAAATCTGGGACATACGTTCCAGAATAGGTTTTGTGCCCAGTGTGTCTGAGGCATAAATGAAATGTTTATATGCTAAGGAAAACAGTCACACATGAGTGTTCAGCCGTGCCCTCTCATTTCAGAGTGACTATGTTTGTGGCTTGAGTGACGCAGGAGTTGGAGAATTTATCTTCATATGTGAATTGATTCATTACTTCATCACTGATGCCTTGGTTTTGTGCTCTTCAAGATTTTTGGTCTTCTCTGATCTGACCTAATGTCAATACACACTGTAGGGAAACCAACCCCTTTGCCTCATCTGAAGTCAATACTGGAGAGATTATCTACCTTTCTGGATAGCCCTTGTATTTTGATGCATTTCTCTTTCTGTCTATAAGCTGTAGTATAGTGTTCCCAGTGCTGTCAAATTTCAGCTTTGTTCTACCTCCGTGCTAGCTGCACAACGTAAGGAGGAACATATGAAGAGAGGCGGCCTCTTATGTTGTTCCCTTTAATGCCCAATGGGCTTTGCACAACTTTATAGATTTGTGTTTGTAATGCAGTTTGAGAAGGTGTCATGTAATATATCAATTTGGAAAGCTCCCATTTTAATCCTTAAACTTCTTAGGATTCTTAAAGAAAAATAAATATAACAGGTCAAAGAGATATTACTTGCATATCATTAATAATTGACATGCACAGGTATGAAATAATAATATTGTAATCCCTGAAAACAAACTCTGCCTTATTCTAAGTAGTCAGTGAATTCACTGTTGGCTGGTCATTTGAAATGGGATACTTCAGGTGGTTTCATATGTGTCTGGATGTACCTGGCTGGCAAGGAACAGTTAAACAGTGGCTGATGCTGGACCCTGCCTTATCCCAGGCACAGTTCTTGAGATGATGAATAGCAGAGAGAAAAGGCTTGGAAGAATAGATGAACACCCTGAGCACCTGCCCCTACCCTTCCCTACCTTCCTTGATCTCCATCTAGCTTTTCTGCAGCTAAAGCATTTGGCATGAGAATAAGTAGGCTCAAAAGTGTGAGGATAAGGGAATATGGGTTTATTTCTCCCACTACACTGTATTTTATTACAAACTCACAGTGTCTCATAAACAATGCTTCTGGCCTTTTTTCACCTAACTTTTGCCCAATTCTATTAAAAAAATAAATTGAAGAGTTTTAGAATAAGAAATGGTTCTTACTATTTAATCTGGTATGAACCTCGTCTCTGTGTATCTTGTGTTTTAAAATACTGCAGTGCATTTTAAAATACTTACTACTAAAGAAAAGTCTTGATAAGCCCAGATATCAGGCAATTAAAGCAAAATTCTGCATGGAGAATCCCTTGGAATATTTGTTCTTCAGTATCTTTCATCCAGGGATTTCAATGTACTTTACAAACATTGATTATACTTCAGCTGCACTGGAAGTCAGATAACATTGACAGGTTTTTTTTCTTTCTATTTTTTCCACCCCTTAATAGCTGGTAGAAAATGAAACCTCACATTGCTCTAACCCAGTATTTTCAAGGTCTTGCCATCAGTATTTAGGCACTTAAATAAATGGCCAGTTTTACAGAAATACCAAATCAACTGCCTTCAAAAGCTGTGAATGTTTAGATACATATGATGGCTTGTACAGGGCCACACAGGAAGCAAAGGTAGAGGCAGAAATAGAAATCAAGAGTCATGTCTGCCAATTTGCTGATCTAACCCATAGCCTACATGGCAGCTCTGCAGATAGTGAAGAACAGGCTGTTTTGTGGTAAGGCAGAGGAGAGCTGTGGTATCAGCAGGTGACATAATGGCCCAGGTGAAGCCAGGACTTCACTTTCCCCAGACTTTTACCTGAAATTATGGCCTTTGTCTCTCTGCAGAAAATTAAATTCCTCTTGCTTTCTTCTTCAGTCACCATCAGTTGGATCGGTTTTTATTCATCAGCTGTTATAGTGCTGCAGTTTTAAGCCATTGCCACCAACACTGTAGTATTTCCCTTGACAGCTTTTGCTTGGTATTTTCCATGATAATAATAAAAAAAAGTTAAAAATCCTGATGATAACATTCCTGTTTCTCTCGTAGTTGACATCAGGAGGAAGACCACATTATTACGTTTCTTACAGGAGGAATGCATTTGCACAAATGAAGCTGCCAAAGTACTCCTTGCCCAAGGTAGGTTGCTGTTACCAGAATGCTCATATGAACCTACAGATATTTTGATTGTACAGAAATTCTGAAATCCAACACAAGTAACTGCAAGATGATATGCAATGAGTGAAAACATAGTTCTTTAACAGAACATTTGCAAGCAAGAAAGGACTGAAAACAAAGTCAGCTCTTTGGCTAGTCAAGGACATCAGCATGAAAAGTAGACGGATACCACAGCTCATGTCAATTACCATTTCTTTATGGTTAGTTAATTAAGTTTTGATGGGGACTCTCTTTTCTGCTTTTTTTTTTTTTCCCCCCCCTTTTTTTGGTTTTAAAATGCCCTTCTCCTGTCCCCGTCCTGTGTGGGTTGCTTTCTGTGCTGTGCCTCATTAGCAGATTTTAATGGGAACCAAGCAAAGAGATGTCTTTGTGTATCTGCTCCATATCTTCCCTAATTAAGAACAATGGTGAATTAGCATTGGAGCTTGAAAGGCTATTGCTGCATTTTGGAGCTGAATTTTTTTTTTAAGACCTCTATAAAATGTTTGCTCCATTTTGAAGAAATCATCATTTTGCAGCTGGGCTCCTCATAGCTTCTTAACAAAGACAGGATTTTTTTTTTCTTGAGGCCTTTTCATTCTTGATATAGTCTGGTTTAAATAAAATTTAATCCCAAAGGTAGGAAATGGATTCTATGTGAGGTCTAACATCTAGAGACAAATGCATTCCCAGAAAGTAAGCAAGGATTGTCAAAATGGAAAAAAAAAAAAAAAAGGGGCAAGGTCAGCCTGTTCCTAGAAATTGAAAGTGCACCAGATTTTGTAGGTGTAAATATTCAAAGGAACAATTCGGCTAATATTACAGCTGGCTGTCTTTGATTCCTCAGCCCAACTGACCTGTTTATACTGGATTGAATGGGTGACCTTCATATAACCAGAGTGCAGCTCAAACCCAGGCCTTCAATGCCATACCTTACTTTGCTGTTGTACCCTTTGCTCCTGTTTACATCACCTGAAAAAACAGCTTACAGGACATTTTGGACTCTACCAGTGGCTCTGACACAGAAGACCTGTGGTCTACCCCAAAATCTTCAGTAGTGTTTAAAGATAGGTTGGTTTGAAACTTCCTGTCCAAGCAGGAAGGAATTACGCGATCAGTTCAGGTCAAATATAAACAGGTGTTATTTAAAGTAGCCCTTAGCAAAGGAGTTTCATTTTTAGCACAGTTATTGTAACATCCAAATCAAAATTGTCATTTACAGCTGATTCAGATCATCTGTAGAGAGACTGCTTGCTCTGAACAGGTTGTCTCCTTTAGCACATACTTATTTTTCCAACTGTTCACCTTCTCAAAGAGATCTCTGGAGAGCCAGGAAAAATGTACTACAGTTGAATTGCAATGTTTTCTCAGAGAATAGGAATTGGAGCAACACATTCATGTTATTTGACCCAAAGAAAATGACAGATATTTAAGGAGATAAGGTGCTTTGTCACAATCTCGGAATATCTTCAAAGACGGAAGAGCTACATTTGGCTTGGAAGGAGCTACAGTGAAGCTGTGGCTGTCTAGTAGGCTGCTATCAAAGCAGGATAGCTGCTTTTATTAAAAATGCACAAAGTGTTATACTATTCAAGGAATTGAAACAAACAGCTTCTTTTATGCCTAAATTCTCTTTTATCTCCTTCAGCTAAAAAAGAGGGGCCAAATATGGTAAACAGTACTAAGCGACTTCTGGAAGTGAAGATGGAAATAGCAAGCTTTTTGTCTCTGCATTTCACTCTTCCTAAACTGGAGGGGTGTGACAGCAGGCAGCTTTGGCAGGTGATACTGCTGCTCAGGCAGGCATGGGCTACAGCAAATCAAAACTAAAATATCCTTGTTGACTTTGACAGCCTGGTAGCCAGTTTGATTAAAAGCCTAAATGAACTTGAAACTCTCTCCCATACAAGAAAATACCTGCGTATGTGCATACAGGTGGTGTTAACTTCATAAATGGTCTATATTGAGACCTGTTCATTTCTGCAGTGATGTTGATCTGTGGGTTGGTACTGCCTATATTCTGTACCACAGCACCACAATGTGGGCTCTGTCACAGACTGTAATGTCAGTCATGATAATCACCTTAAATGTACACGTGGGATACATTCACTTCACTTTAGACCAATGCACTGGGCAGACATCTGTGAATATGGAAGCAAGCCAAGCAATTTCTCTTTTAAAAAGACCTGTCCTTAACTCATGCTGGGCTGAATACTGATGGGATGGGTGTGTGTGGTACCTCTGTTTTAAATTCATCATAATCTTTCAACCTCAGGATGCACATCCTGATGGAAGAAACAATAACCACAAAAAAATCCTTAAATACAGACCTTAAAAAGATCTGACAGTCCCAGTAATTGACAGGATAAAACAGGCATTACACATCCCTGCTATTTAACTTGCCAAGAAGAAAAGTTATCTGACCAAGTGCAGAAAGGGCAACTGAAGCCTATTTAGTAATTCAGAAAGCCCTGGCCTTTAGTCATTTGAGTAGATACCTGATCAAACCCATGCACAGCATGATGCTCTTACTTTTGTCTTTGGAAAGGCAAGAGGGACAGATAGTAGAACTGCATACTAATCTACTTCTGCTGTGTGCTGGAACAGAGTAGGAAAGCTCAGGTTCTCAGTTGTGTGGGGAGCCCCTGAAGATGACAGTGACTGAGAACGGTGCCTTGCTTCACTCTTGTCCTCTTCCCTTTCTGCAGGGTGTAGTAGTGGAAGATGCAGTGAAGCTCTTGCTCCTTATCAAGATGAAAGCTTTCTTTGTGTATTATTCCTCCTCCCCAAAAAGCAACCCCCAATTTTCCCAATGTGGAAACCAAAAAATTCCTGATATTGGTCAAAGGCCTGTTTGATGCCTATATACTGATCCCTTTGTATCAAAACTTTGCGTTGTTACTGCATCTATTGGACAAAGCCATAGTAAGGGAAAAGACAATTAATCCCCAAAGGCAAACAGTTGGAACGCTATTTTATTTTACTTTCTGTGCTATGTATATTATGCCAATTCTGTTGTAATCACTGCTTCTCTAAGCTTAAATTCTTTCAGCTTTACTGGGATCTTCTTTACAATTGCGTTTAATAGCATGATCTGATCAACACTGAGGAAGCATCTAGTGAATAAATTAACTTATTTGCTTCTTAAGCATTCATTAAATTGCCTTTTGTTTTTACTGGTGTTGATCAAAATATCTTTTTACCTGTCTCCCCTGGTTATTACAAAACTATTGATTAAAATGTTAAGTTAATGAAACTGTGCATTCACTAGACAAAACAAGTTTTACTTATAATCTCTGTCTACGTTTAAATAGAGGGGTCTGCCCATGTGCATATGCACATATGCAAAAGTTTAAACTTGAGATTAGAAGTGTGATATCCAGTGTTGCTGTAAGCACATTGTGAACACCTAGCCATGTAGATCTACCAGCAGATTGACTAAGATGACAGTCTGAAATAAGGAGCCTCTGACAAACAGCTGCAGCAGTAATTTCTACTAGCACAGCTGGAGCTAAGAGAGGATTTCTATTCACAGCCACAATTAGTAGAAGGCAGTGGACTTATATTGCCTTTCTTATTGCCTCAAGATTTAAGCCAATCTGTTCCTCCACAAAACCAACCCATCTTCTAGGTTATATTTTTCTCCAGTGGAAAGAAGCAAGTAAATCAAATGAATATTCATCCATTCCATACTCATCTCTGGATCTGGATGAACAAACAACTGTTCTGAATCTTAAGTCATGGTGAATCCACTTTCAAATTTATAGATCAGATTTCTTCATTATATTATTTTTCATCTGTATATTACAAGGCTCCATCTGGAAGTATTAATTCCCTCTACAAGACCACGAGAAAGTGAATTGTCAAAGGCTATTACTAACAGAAGGAAGAAGTAGCATTAGCTTCCAAAGAGTATATTTTCTGAAAAAGTTCCCAGTTTTGCATGTAGAAAGCCCTGGCTGAGATTCATGGAAGCAGAATAACTTCGGGATATCTGCCTGAAACAGATAGAATAGCTGAATCTTCTGGGAATCACCTGGTGCTAAGAAATCTACATCACTTTTCCTACCTTCACAGATTTTTATTGCACCAGAGAAATCAGGGTGCCTGTGCTGGGCAGATAGAGCCTGGGAATTTCATTATAACAATCTCTCTCTCGGTGGCTTGTTCCACTGTGTAATAATTTCTCCAGGCACTGAAAGAGCAAATCAGGTTTAATAGTTTCTGTTTTTTCTTTAATTATGCAATCTTTTAATTGCTTCCTGCCTGCTGTAACACACAGTACAAACAGAGTAAAAAAAAAAACAAAAAACACCTCACTCATAAACTAGTGATCTAACTGTAATTCTGCTCGTTACATCTAGTGAGGATTAGAGCTGTCTTTCTGTTATATTTCATGGGGGCTGTTTAGCACAGTGGTCCAGGGCCTTGGCTTCTAGTCCACACTGTCATTAGAAATAATAAATAACAGCAGCACTGGCTGCAGACATTAACCTATTAGATCCTTCTTGTATCACCTCCCAAGGTTTCTGAACGCTAGGCAAGAAGCAACGTTTTCAGATGCTGCTTTTTTCCTCTTTTTATAGAACAAACCCCACATTTTTAATATCTACAGTCACAATCACAAGTGGAATCACTCAGGTGCCAGAAAAAACCCCCAAATAACAAACCACCCCCACCACCCCCCAAAGATAGTACTCATTAAAATGTAAGTGTTGGTAGGGGGGGTAAGTGCTGCTGTATAACACTGTACTGCCAATGTAAATGTTCAATTAACGCCTCATCAGTTAATTACCACTTTGAAAACTGGCAGAAGAGAGTTGGTGTAAAATATTCCTGGATGGAATTATCCACTTATAAGAGTGTTGTCTACAGTTTCTGATTAAAATCCGGCCTAAATATACCCCTTGCTTCTCCACAATTACTTTGATGTCCTTGGAAATGATGGAGCAGAGCTCCCTCTAGTAACCTTCCTCTCTTTCCTTTCCCCAGGACATGCATGTTATCAGCACAGATGAGAATCAGGTGTTTGCAGCTGTACAAGAGTGGAACCAGAACGACACGTACAATCTGTATATCTCCGACACCCGAGGGGTGTACTTCACCCTGGCCTTGGAAAATGTCAAGAGTAGTCAAGGGCTGGAGGGGAATGTGATGATTGACCTCTATGAGGTATGTCATGACTCCAAACATATCATGTGTATCTCAGGATCTCACATGGTGTCAGTACTCTTTCCTTCTTGCACTTTAGTCTCATAATATGCAAGCGAACAGCAGAGCCAAAAAGTGACTAAAACCATAGTTTTACCTTCCTTTTACTTAAGGGCCTCAATGCAATTATGAGTTTCAAGGACAAGTTTTACACAGGTGTTGAATTTGGGCCCAGTCTAATATTATGAACACTTTCACTGCTGTACTCTCCTGTAGTTTTCAGGTGAGGAAGAGCTCGTGGCTCTTTTGTGCATAGGGAGATATGCATTGGAGAATGTAGTAGAATAGTTCATTCAGTCCCTAAGAGGAGCTCATTAAGTTTCTCTTCCAAAATCCTGCTGACCCATGTTGGTCCAGCCTATGGCTCTGAAAGCTCCCAACACTCTGAATAGCATGATTCTCCAATTTTTGTTGCATTTCTGACAGTCTAATCTCGTGGTTTAGAAGTAAGGAGAGACAGAAGTTTTCAGCTATGTTTGTCACCTTCCTCAGCTTGGACTATTCTTGGAACTGAACTGATTTTAGATACGCCCTCCTGAGCTATCCCATGGTCATGGAAGCTCTCCTACCCCATTTTGATGTCACTTTTACTCCTGAGCCTTTTTCTGACAAGTACATTCTGCCTAAGCTCACCTATGAAAAGGCCGATTTGCATTGTCTTCTATGACAACTGATCCTAAGAAGAGAAATTCTAATGTGCCCTTGTAATTCTCTTGCTCTGCTGCCTGTTCTACTTCTGGAGACAGCACTTGGCTAAGTAGAAATTCAGTCCTCAGCTGCAGTTTCAAAGGACAGCTTCTCTTTTCAGGTCTCCTCTAGGGGATTTTCGGACCATTTAGGATAAAGGCCATGAACTAGATCTGAGTTCCTCTGAAAATGAAGATGCTTCATGGCTTTCCCCATCACCATCTGAATATTAGCTCTGCTATGTAGTTTGCCTTCGGCTGCCCTTTACTTGGAAACCAGCTTGAATTGTCCAGAGAGTTCAAGTGTTGTACATAAATGCAGATGAACTGTAGGAGGATGGAGACAGGCATTTCAGTCATTTGGAGATTTTTACTATTAATCTCTCAGCAGTGCTGGCAGCCCATGGAAAAACTGTTGCCGCTTATTGCTGTCAACTCAAGAAGCAGTTTTGCTGCACTATGCAGGGTGTCCTGCATCCCAGGGGGAAAGAACAACCTTTGTTTTGTTTTACTAGGCTGACACCACACAGTAACCTGGATTGAAATTGATGGAATCAGACTTGTAATGTCATATCTGCTGATTATCTAGATATAAAGAATATTGGCTGACACTGAACCTGGCACAAACCTTCCTTTCAATTTGATGTTCTCGCTGGAAGGGAACAGAAAGCCATCTAGCGTGATTCTCTCTGTAGGGTTGTTGCAAATGATGAATGCTCTGGGGGTAAGTGGATATGAAGACGAGAGAAGAAAAAAATCCATAGATAAATTAAAAGGAAGTGGAGAGATTACAAAATGAGTCCCTCTGCGGTGACAGTGTTATATTTAGAAAAGCAAGATTGAAAAGATGCCAGAGAAAGACCTGTTTAATGTGCATGTATCTGTATGCATGTTTGTCAGGTGTTAGAAGTAAATTCTGGTTGCACTGTAGTGAATGTGTTTGTGTGTGTAGTTTCCTAAACTGATACTAATCAAGGATAAATCTGCTCAATGCTGCTCAACGGGGAATTGCATTGGACATGAAGAGAAAAAATGTTCTTTCATGGTGCCTCATCATGTTCTCTCTTCTATTCTCCTGCAAGTCATCAGGAGCCTTTCACTCAGAGGTTGTTATTTCAGTGTGGGGGCTTTTCTGCTGCTGGACCTTGTAGAGGATGAGGAGATCACTCCTGGAGGGACACTATTCCAGCTTCTGCATGGGGTGTGAGAATAGCTCTTCACCACCTTCGTGAGTGTGCAGTCACAAAAGGGCTGTCTAGAGACCATATCCTAGAGCAAGGGAAGAGCAAAAATTTCTGGCCGTTGGGTCTGAGTGCCCTTTCTAGTTTCTGCACCTCCCCAGTGATGTGGTTTGGCTCTGTAGTTGGACAGGTCTACAGCAAGACAAGCCTGAAGTGATAACAGACTATGAGGAGATGTGTCTGTAACTATAGTATATAAGCCTATTACTCTGGGACTTGTTTTTTTTAGCAGTGTGAATCTTGGATGGGAAGTATATGTTTGATGTATGAAGTTTTTGATAGGGAGTGAAGCATGTGTTTTGAGTTATGTGTTTGAGTGTCTTGTATGAATCTTTCTAAAACTGTAGACAGCATTTGTATCTGCACACAATGCATTCGGGGCGGTGAGGATTGTCTACAATACCTGTGTGGGAGCTGATGGAGTGAGTGCTTTTCTCTCTGACCACTGGTGGTCATGCACTTACTTACGTGAGTGTCTCTCTTACGATTGTATGAACAGCAGAGATGAACAGATCATTGTGTGTGTCAAGGTTGTGTATATACATTAGGTGTATCTCTTCCTACTGAGAGTACACAAACATGTATAGTGTGTGTGGTCTTTTTTTAAGCTAAAGCTATCCAAGACTGACAGTATAACTTACGCTTTGCTTTCCTGGGAAAGGATTCTGAGTCCCAGCCCATGACTAGAATCATAAAAAGAAAAATTCACAGGATTTCAGAACACATTTATCACCTGATATATAAAACGCTCTTTAATCATTTATGGCCAGCATTTCCCAGGGACTATATAATACAACTATTTCAGGACAACAACAAAGAAAAGTACAAATGGAGCTATAGGCTCTGGCCTCTGGTAGTAAAGGCAGAACTATGTTATTTTTCCAGCCCTGTCTATTCATGCAATATCACTGGGAGACAGAGTACCCTTGTCTTTTCAGAGTGCCTTTCTACTACAACCAAAAAAATCCTGAATACTTAGTTGGGTGGGACTACACATTCCAGCTAAGAAATTGGAAGTATTATCTTTTTATGCTTATATTAGCAATAAATTAGTTAACTACTTAATTTAAAGACTATTGTCCATTATGGCAAGTCATGTCTAAGTTTTTACATAACCTCAAATGAAATTCAGTGCCATTTCTGCAATAGCAGAAAACTACTCAGGATGACTAAGTACACCAATGTACTACACCTATGCACGGTACACTAGTAGTCCTACAGCATGTAACTTAAAGTCCTGTAAGGTCCTCTTCACTGGAAGCTGTAGCGTCCAAATCCAGCCACATAATTAAATCAGTTGAGCTGGAACAAACTTTGAGTCTGTTGCGTAACCATTTACCATGTGATGCCATTTAAGTTATAATCTCTATGAAAAAAAAAAAGTCCATATGAATGATTCTGTGTACTAGCTCTACGTCAGAAGAGATGTGGTGGATGACTGAACAGACTTGCTGGAAACCAAAAAGTTTCTCACTTTCCCCGCTCTCCAGATTTCACATCCCTTTTTATTGCAGCACTCAGATTGCAGAATGACAGCCTAACAAATTCATTCGCAAGGTGAAGCAACTATTGGGCTATTGATTTTCAGTGTGCTGAGAAGATGGGAACATTCTGCAGTGTGAGTTGTGGTTTGAGGTTGACTTTTTTTCTCCCCACTAAGACACTTTTGGGCTTGGTTCCAATATGAGTCTGTTAGCATCACACCTTTCCAAAATCCTCCTTCAGGTCTATAGAGTAAAGCTACTGGGTAAAACACCAGGAAAAAAAAAAAAAAAAGGATTGTAATCTCATTGCTAGCTCTATAACTAGCATTCTGGGTGGCCTTGCTTGAATCACCAGTTATTTGGTTTCCTCAAAATACAAAAAAGTAATAAAAATACCTCCGTGCCCCAAGTTGAAACACTGATAATTATGAAATGCATTGGGATCCTCAGATGAAATGTCTTAGGCTATATGAGAATAGAAGCACTGAATTGCAAGTTTATGTGTGTGTTGCCATCTTCTTTGCAAGGCCAGAATTGCTGCTGTTTCCTGCTACTGCAGTGCAAGAGACAAATAATTGCCCTGTACTTATTTCATCTTTCAGGAGGAAGGATGCCTACACAGTTGAGAGTTTGTCATTTCACAAATAATGCTATTGACATCTTACCATGTTCTCATGATGATTTTGAAATATAAGCTTTCTTTTCTATTTGTCACCTTTCCACCTGTGATGGTCTTATCTTGTCCTCAGCACCTCAATTTGCCTTCCTACTGCTTGGCAATTCTTGCCCTATCATTTCCCACATTGACAGAGCCACCAGGTCCCTGTTGGGTTTGACAGGGCAAGAGAGACACATGCACAGAACCTGCATCGGCTTGATCTATTTTTCAGCCATGTCAATTTTTCCTAGGTAGCAGGGATAAAGGGAATGTTCTTGGCTAACAAGAAGATTGACAACCAAGTGAAAACTTTCATCACCTACAATAAAGGGAGAGACTGGAGTTTGTTGCAGGCTCCGGACACTGATCTGAGAGGAAACCCCGTTCACTGTCTCCTAGTAAGTACCTGGGGGCAGCTTGGGGGGTGGTAACATCCCAGAACAATCTTTTTCTACCAGGTAACAAAAGAAGGAGCAGGCAGCTCCTATCTCCATGCAATGTATCTCATGGAGGGAGTATGGCATATTAAAAGTGCAGTACATCAGCTTGGGCGGCCAGGTAATAGTGCAAGAGCTGGCATTGTAATTTTTGCTTAATTTAATTTCTGGAACATAAGGAAGCATCGTAGATAGCTTCCTTCTGCACAACTGATGGTCTCCCCTTGAACAGTAGGTGAAGCTGGATGCCGTTTCTGCGCAGTTGGTTCTCTGGACACTAGATGGGAGGAGTGAGCTATCGTAGTTTAGGAATTTTCAGGACCTGATTAAGTTGAGACAGGTTCAGAGGAAAGGAAGGCTCTTATTTCTTTCAGGCTGCTCTGTTGGCAGTATTAATATTTATCCATTTCTCTTTGATCTCAGAAGTGAAAATCGACACATTCATCCAAATATATATGTATAGCTATGTGTTGGGTGTATAATGTATCTATCTTTGTACTTACTGATATAGATCAACATTTAGATAAGTCTTTAATCATCGTTATAGGTAAACAGGTTCCAAGGGTGAAAGTGAAATATAACCAGTGTGAATAGAATTGGAGATCTCTGTCAAAATAAAAAGTTTAGTCTGCTCTTGACGTATTTTTCAGGCAGTATAATCTGTACACTGTAGTGGGGTAATACTCATAACCCTAGCCTTTGGGATTCTCAATACCTTTATGTTACACAAATTCTAACATGACTGCAGGCAGAATCGGGGGCATTTTTTAGACTGCACTTCCTCCTGCTGTCCTGTACCTGCATGTTGTTTTCCATCAAAAAAAAAAAAAAAGGAAAAAAAAAAGTTGTTTCTCATTTTGAGGCTGTAAGTTTGTTAGAATCTGAAACAGTGTTATATTTGGTGCATTGTGGTAAGTAGCTGAATGCTACACTAATCTCTTAACTGAATCCTGTGCATTATTACAAGAGCAAAGAATAAATAACTTGATATTTGAAACTGTTCAAAGAATTGATTTTTTTATTAAGGCAAAATGCAAGCCTAGCATTTTTCATCCAGTTTGGAAAAAATGAATAGGGAAGACTGGGGGTCAAACAGAAGAGTTATTTCAGAGTATGACTAAATTTGTTGGGTTTGTTTTCTTCTTCCAGGTTTTAAGAATTGTAACTAAAGGCATTTTAAAATTAAAACTTTTTATGAGATGAAAACTGAAAAGATGATATTCAGAAAACTTTGTAGATGTAAAACAATTGAATTTTTTGGAAGGGGCTATGTGTAGTAGTGTATGTGTTTCAAATAGATTGTAATCTAATTTTCACTCAAGTGAACATATTTGGTAAAAAAAAAACACCTTGGCTTTTTCAAATTATGACCAATTTTATCAGCAACCCAAGATTTTTATTATATGATAAGATAGTATAATATTTTAGGGGGCTGGCAAGACAAAAGAAATAAAAACTATGCAGGCAAGTAAAATAATCAAAGTAAACGTTATTCTTTTTCCATAAATTTGAAATTTGAGTTCTGAGAAAAGGTCTTTCTTGGTATTGTTGTTCACCAATCAAGAGAGATCTGACTTGCCATTGTGGTTATAAATGAGCCAGAGGTACTACTCTGTGGGGTCCTTATGAAACCGTCGTTTGCAGGGACTGTGTATTTTATATACAAGGGTATGCTGTCCCTGCAGTTATCCATGATACAGTGGAAGTGGTTGTATGACTCCATATAAACCAGGGCTGGATGGTTCTTATGGATAGAGGGGATTATGGCTCCCTTAAGCCTTACCAGCTTTACTGTATCTGCTGCTATACTCGTTGGCACCTGAGAACAATTCATTTCATTTAAAATTAGACCATATATGCCTGGAAAAACTGAAATTCCCTTGAGGGTGGTAGACTTGAACAAAGGGTCATGAGTCTGGACACTTGTAGGTACATAGTGAGAACTGACCCAGAGAAGCATTTTGTTCTCTGTGGATTGCATTTGCATCCTTGTAGCTTCACTATGCACAAACCTCTACTTAAATACTGGTTCATTTTTATTTTACTCTGCGTGTACTTGCTCTGAGAAGTGCTTCCACCTGTGCAGGCTTGATGTAGGCTTGTCATCCTGTTTGCACTGGGAAGCAGCCACTTCTTAAATGCTCCGTGATTGGGGCTGGGGTAGGCATCTCAGGTCTGTGGGCATCTGTGGAAATCTGTCTGTAAGTTTGGTAAAGAACAAATCCTCAGTGGACCTAAACCATGTAGCTCAGTCTTTGCTCTTCCAGAGAGAGAATGAAAAAGAACTTAGCCCTTGCCTGTGATAAAGCCAGAGGAATATTCAATCATGTTTATTTTTCTTCTTCGTTAACATCAGGAAAAACAGGCAAGAGGCCTCTTTCCTTGTCTGAGTGTGTCTGAGCACCTCTTCATGCTTAGATTGTAGCAAACTAGTGGAATGGTATCAGAGCAGGGATTATCAGCTGAGCATGCAGGGTGTCAGGTGGTCAACTTGCAAATTTGCAAGAAAGCAAATAGATGAAACCTGGACTAAACTGACTTGTTATGTCTTTTACAGGAGCAGGCAGTCAGCCTGCAAGAGAAAGGGAGGATAATGATAAAGAAAAGGCACCAAAACCACCGAGTAAAATAACCTGCAAGAGAGAGACAAGCTATTTAAAGATCTGAGTTTCACACTTAATGGTGGGGGAAGATGAAGGCAGAATATAGAATGAAAAAATTCAAGAAATGATAAAGAAGAGACCACACAAGTTGGGAGTGGTAGGGAAATTTTTGAAGCAAGAGCACTGGAAATGTGTGTGCCTGGAAATAAGTCAGGGATCCTGAAATAAGGACATTCTTCTGAGGAAAAATGTGGAGAAAAGGAATTCTTTCCTGCTCTGAGGCAATTCTGTTCCCTGTCAATGTGACATAACTGTAGTATTTAAACAGTTCACAAATTCCACTCACTTCTTTAGTCACACTCTGTCTATCCCTGTATCACCACTTTTTTTTACCTCCTTACATCAGTTTCTCCTTTTCCTTCTACATATTACTGTTCCTGGCATGATTCTGCTTTTTCTTATGGGATAGCAAAGTGAATTCTTAATAGTCCATCGTACATCTAGCTTAGCTTCCATCCTTAGTCCACAGCAGATACTAATGCTTTCACACTGCTGCTTTTTGGCATAATTGTCTCTAGCAGTAGCTCAGGAGACAGCAATGACATATGTTCCAGCTTGTTGGCAGAATGGGGTCTGCCCTTTCCCAGAGTAACAGGGCAGTCCCCAGTCTGCAAGTGCAATGCTGTGTCCTCTGTGCATCTGGTCTTTGAACCTAAACTAAGGAAGAATTAACGCAGAAATAAGGACGTAGCAGCTAAATTGGCAGCTAAGGAGGTTAAGAGGGAATCTGGTTGAAACACTAAGTGAGCCAGACGGAACCATCCCTCTACTGACAGTACACTCGAGGTGTTTTTTTTTCAAAGCAACTCAAAGAATTTATTTGCATTTTTTGTGAGATGGCTCTGAATAATGAGGATGGAGGAAAGCAATGAAATTCTATCTAATCCCATGGTTTTGTTTTTCTTGTTTACACCACTTGTTTTCTAAGTTGAATACACTTAATCTTCATAAAATAGCTGCTAAGGTGTTATGCCAGAGATGCTGGTTTTGTTTAATACTTATCTTGTGCTATGAAGTGTTTAACTGAGTAGTAATTCTATCTTGCAAGTTGTGTCTAGGAGAGTTAATCAATTAGCTTTCAAGGATGGTCTTGTGGTTAAAACACAGGGCTGAATCTCAGGAGAATCTTGATTCAATTTTTAGGCCTATCTCCAGTTTCCTTGGGCAAGTCATTTATTTTCTCTGTGTCTCCCTTCCCCAGACATCTGTTTATTCCTTCCCACATTTTGTTTGTCTTGTCTGTATGGATTATAAGGATTTCAGGACAAAGACCCTTTTCTCATAAGGGGGGGCATTCATGCCATCTGCTACAGAATAATTTAAGCATCTAAGTGAGGTGTTTTGAATAATTCTCCTGGAAGTGTTTATCTCCACTGCTCCTTGCTAATACTGTGACTAGTCCTAGGTTTGTGAATGGTGCCTAGCATCATCCTTGTGTTATAATACTTTTCTCCACTCCTGATCAGGAACAGTCACTAATAACTGTTTTGTGGGTGTCATGCCATTGGAGACTGTACGGGTAGACTTTGCAGAACAGCCAAAAAGTGGGTTTGTGGGTATTTATGAGAAATTTTACTAAGGAGTGATGAACTTCTAGAGAGGGGAGCATAAAAGTGCTGGCTTGAAGTTATTAGGAAGCATGTAATGAACTCCACCATGATTGTAAGAACTATGGCAGTGAGCAGAGCTATGGCCTGTGCCACTCATGCTTTATCTTCTACCTAGGTTGTAAATGCTCCGTGGCAGTGGTTGTCTTTCCCTTGGTGTCTGTGCAGCAGCTAGAACAGCTGGGTACTAGGCAATGACAGGAAACACAAAATTGGTGACTGCCAGCGTGGGGAATCGGCTGAGTTGCTGCCATTAGTTTCTGTCTTCAAAATGCTGAAGTGAGCTTGGAGTATGTTAGTTTGTTTTAAAAATATCTTCTGTATTTAGTCTTTTCACAATATATAAAAATGTAAAAGGAAAGAATTCATGCTCTTGCAATGCTTTTTCACTTCCTGCATGCATGTCAGCTTGATTTGGTTTCCACTCCCTCCCTGCACCCTCAGGCTGCTCCAGTGGCTGCCCTCACAAAGCTGTCAGTTAGAGTTAAGCTGCTCAGTACATTCCATTTGGCAGATTGTGTTCCCTTCTGCACGACCCGTGTCCCCTTTTCCTGTCTCACATAAGTGAGAGTTCCCATCCCTCCTCACCACTGTCATTTGCCTTTGCAAAAAAAACCCTGCCATTCTCCACAGGGGGATTTTTATTTCAGGGTCATAGACCTACTCTGAGATGGGATGGATGAGTCATCTTCCTCCAATGACCTGTGGGGCTAGGTATCCTGCAGAGGAAGGTTACAGAACTTTTGGGGCTGCAGACCTAGCCTTCTGGCTAATAAAAATATTAGCCAGAAAGACCTGCCTGAAGTTCCTTCTGCATAGCCTCTCATGCTCATCTTTAATCCATGCAAGCTGAAACATGGGCTTTGCTGTATTTGTGTTCCCATGTGATGTCCCCCTCGATTGGGTCAGTTTGTTTCAGGTTTTCTTGACAGTATTTTTCTACCTCCCTTCCTTTAGAACGTTTCATGAAGGGCTCTTCATAAGGTTTGGAAGGAAAAAGATACTGAAAATCCAAGAGTGGGCAAAAATAATCAGAAATTTTCAGAAGTTATCACAGTACAGATCTGGGGGGAATTGTAACGGCAACTTTGGAAATCTGCCTGTCTGTCTAACCTTCTTTCTCAGCTGATGTATTCTGTACCACTCCTATCTTATCTGAGTACTTGACATACAAAATCAGTAACAAATAGGTGAAGTTTCCATGGATGCATTTGTATTGCAAAATCAAAGGTCACATCCAGATGGGGCAATGAAGCATTGTTTTAAACAATTTTTAAACTAACACTTTCCAGTCTTGGTACTTCTTCTTAGTACAGTGCAGAACAGAGTCATTTGTCAACAATACTCAGAGTCAAGAAATGGTATGACTCTGTCTGAATTAAGTTGTTTCTCATGGCTAATTAGTGGTGACTCAGCACCACACTGAGAGGGTTATATTGCATCTTGTTGCAGAGATAGCTTGGACAGTGCTGGTCTGAGAATCACTTCATCATATTTCAGCCTTGCTTGCTTCTGAGAGAGCTAAGAGCCGGGGGAGCTAGGTAGTCCTTACTATTACCTTTCCTTGCAAGCTTGGTTGCCTCCTTTGTGCGTACAGCCTCAAAGATCTTGTCCTTGGGAGAGGGATTCAGCCTAGCAAATCAATTTACCAGTGGGAAAAGGTTGCATCAGAAAGTGATAGCGAAGCTCTTGCAACAGAATCAAGACAGTGGCTGTGTCTTTCTAAGGGCTGAATGCAGTGGTTAGGAAGTAATACAGGAAGACACTGTGTATTTCTAAGCCTGTAGAAATAGGTGCATGCATTTCATGTTGTGTCAGCTTTTTACTTTTATTTCTCCTTTCTCCATAGCCCTATTGCTCCCTTCATCTTCACCTGAAGGTTTCAGAGAATCCCTATACCTCAGGAAACATCGCCAGCCGAGACACTGCCCCCAGTATTATTGTAGCTTCAGGTATGAAACACTTAAAGATTGCCTGTGTATCATGTGAAAACACTGACAGAATTTTGAGGTTGTGGTGGGTGCGGAGGGTGTTGAATGGCTTGTGAGGTGTCACACCACCAGTATTGGTAAGGAAGGCAGGCTATCAAATGGAAGTCCTTATGGACCTTCAACTTGTCATGTTTTTTGTGGAAACTGGCCTTCAAGACTGAGGAGATCACTTCTAGTCCTCTACTCCTGTGAACATAAGATTCAAATCAGGGTATTTCCTTTGCATATGGAGGTGTGTAGACCTGTATGGATTGGATCTCTTATATATATTTTTTCTTCAGACTGAAAGTCTTTCCCTTCCCCGTCTTTCTTTTCTTACAACTAGAAGTTCTATAATTGCAAAAGGTAAATAAATACATTTACTCCCTGATTTTCTGATTCTACTGTTTACTTAGAGTGTTGCATCACTAATCAATGCTCATCTCACAGGTAATATAGGCACTGAACTATCAGACGATGACATCAGCATGTTTGTTTCTTCTGATGCTGGGAACACTTGGAGACAGGTAAATGATACAGAATCACAAGTTTAAATAATAATCATAGGATAATGTCATAAAAGTAGATTAAAACTGTCACTTAATTTGTGTTTCTTTTGGTTCAGAGTAGCTTTTTGCAAATCTTTACAAAAGGGTAAACTTCACTTCTGAGAGATAGAGAGATGCCTGAAGAAAAAGACTGAATAATTCGTTAGACTTCATATAACAGAAAATTGTACTCAATTTGACTTCAGTTTGACCCTGTAGCAAAGAAAGCAGATTAAAATATGAATACTAACGAGAGAAAATGTGTTTCCTTTTACTGTTGTATATCCCTTGTAACAATCAAATCATTTTTCTCTTTGTCCATATTTATACTTTATCAAGAATCAGCAGTTACACTGGTCTGCTTGCCCTCACTCCATGTAGGACTCATTTCACCTATGCTGACTTGTCTAAAGTTCAGTGCCTGTTTAAATGGATTATTTTGGCATGATCTTAAACTAATGGAGAAAAATGCATCTTTTCTGAAGCTACCTATCTCTACATGTGGAAAGAGACTGGATGATGAAGTGAATTCAAGTTCCTAATATTTAGTGGAATCTCACCTGTTAACAGAGCATTGCTACCCTTTAATCTGTTTATCTTCAGAATAGGAAGTTCTATTATTCTATTTTCTGGATGGGTTATCAAGTCATGGAGAGTGTGACAAATGCTGCTGTATGAACTGGAGAGCAGATGCTTGCAGAAAGCTAATACAAAAAAGACATAGGAAAATAAAATCTTTTAAAATATTTGATATTCCAGGGATTTAATTATTTTACAATGTTTGACAAGCCCTCATTTTTCGTCTACTTATGTGAGATAGGACCAGATACATGCAAACACATGAAGTTCTTCTTTAAACAAAAGTCTGTCATCAAAAGGAGGGAAATGATCTTTGCAGAAACTCATGTTTCTAACTTTCTGTCAACCAATAGCAGGGAGCTAAGGATCTCAAAAATAATAAAAAACCCAACCCAAATGAAAAAAAATAAAAGCCAGAAATGGTGTCTATACAGAATGTCTTCCTCTGCTTCATAACTGCCTTAGCATGTACCTGTCCTCTGTCATGATTGTACTTATAGAACAATGACATTTTCTTAATACTAAGGAAAATAGATATAAATACATGCTTTTTTTCTCCCCCCCAGATCTTTGAGGAAGAGCACAGTGTTCTGTACCTGGATCAAGGTGGAGTACTGGTTGCCATGAAACACACATCTCTGCCTATCAGACATCTCTGGTAATGACTCTGTGCTAAATGTCTGCTGTCCCTTTTTTCACGTGCTAGGAAGCAGACAGTTAGGTTGCATCCAGAATTTTCTGTAGCTACAATCTAGAAAACATCATTTAAGATACTGGCAAACATTAACTCAGATAAATCTAAGAAATCTTGGCAATTCCAGTTTACATAGTTTCAGTTTGGCCAGATCTGAGATATCATCAATGTAATTCCACAACTTTCAAGGTTTACCACAACTTGACTTCTTGAGTTTGGTTATTTATGTAATATGTATCTGGATTATGGCTTTGTCTCTTACTAAGTTACCAAAGTACTCTTTATTTTCAGAATTACTGATGGACTTGTCTTCAATGTGGCAGACAGGACCTATGAACCAGAGTTTTATTGAATAGATTCAGGGTTATGCAGCCAATAAGGCAAAAGTGCATCTGCTAGTTAGCACTCTTAAGTTTGTGTGGTAGGTAGAATATAGTGCTGGTTTGCATTATTTACTTCAACCACAATCAGTGTCATATTGATATCTGAAACACACAGATCCAAGTTTAAGAAGTGATGAATGATTCCAAACTTTGACATACACATACACCCACCACAGGGAAGACTGCTGGCCAGAAGAGGCAAAGCTCTTGTGCCCCAGAAATCTTACATCCTTAAAATGTCTTATATTAGGGACCCAAAAATAAGATGCTCAAAATTGCTTGTTTATTTTTAAAAAATCTTAGCCCTAAACTACATTTTGCATGTAAGGCATCAATCTCTAACATAACTTCATTAGTTTCTACCACTTAAGTGTTGGCCATGGGTTAGTGGTATGATGCCAAACAAGTTTGATCAATGCTTTGATTTACAATGCTTCCCCAAAAAATAGTTATTTAAAGGATTAAAAATGCATTACCCAAGAACAGAAGCTGTTTCCCACTTCTCTGTAGCAGCTGTAGTGGCCTAGGATCTCCTCAAGTAAAGTAGGAGGAGAGTAAGGAAGACACTAATTCTGCTTTCTCTACTAGGTTAAGTTTTGATGAAGGGAGATCTTGGAGCAAGTACAGTTTCACGTCCCTCCCACTGTTTGTAGATGGAGTTTTAGGGGAGCCTGGAGAAGAAACTCTCATCATGACGTAAGTGAGCATGACATCATGCTACTGTTGATGGGAACTGCACCATAAATATCTTACGAGAGTTGTTCGTAACAATAGCTTTTCTGGTTGAGGGCCAAACCAAGTACTATCTGAAGCCAGGAGTATGCAGTCTTCTGTTGCTTATAAATCATCAGTGTTTATTTGTGATATGATTGAAGGAATGACAACATGGTTGCTTGCAAGCTGCAAAAACATTGTCACTTAGCTTATCAGCATGAAACCTGACTCCTCAAATTCAATGTGGTTTAAAGCTCAGCAGATGAATATTTGAAATAAAAAAGTTGCGGCATTTTTGTAACAGAGTTTTTGCTGCTACTTTCTTTTTTTTTTTTTTTTTTTTTTAAAATTTTTTAAACAGACAGAAAAATTAAGTCATTCTTTTGTAAAAATGAATGACAAAATGTTGCCTGGAGTCTGACTCATGAAAAATTATGATGAGTTTCAACATGGTATGCTGAATTCTGCATGGTGCATAAATCTAGATTCACCGTGCCAGAAACTGTGACATTTTACCTGAGATCAGATTTGCAAAAACAGAAGGAAAATTCAGTTTCTGTCTGTAAAAAAATGGACTGACCTGTAATAAAGAGAATATGTGGTTTGGAGAACAGCCTGAGTTAATAGAGGTGCATGAAGAATGTTCCCTTCGGGTTCTGATTTTAATTTGTGTGGAAGGGATTTTGAAAGTTTTACAATTGAGATATCAAACTCCTATAGGTATAACTGTCTCTGGCCCCACACAAGTCTTCCCTGTATAGTCATTTTGCAGATTGATGTAAGTGGGAGAATAATGATCCACAGGATAAAAGCTACATGCAATTTTTAAAAGGGTTGTAGATATTTAGCAATCTAAGTATCACTTCCACTATGTCAGTCAAATAAAAATCAGTGGGACTGTCACTTCTAAAGCAATCTCTGTTGGAAATTTGTGGGTGAGTGTATCTCTGTAACTATCACACTCCATCTGGTGCTACTTTTTACTGTATGCTCTTTCTACTGGATTCTGTAGAGTGTTTGGACATTTCAGCCACCGTTCAGAGTGGCAGCTGGTGAAAGTAGACTACAAGTCCATTTTTGATCGGAGGTGTGCAGAAGAGGACTACAGGCCCTGGCAACTCCATAGCCAGGTGAGAAGCAAGGAGGCTGGGATCTGACCTGAAGCAGCTAATGATCATACAATTAAAGGCCAGTGTGATCCAATATCTCTTCTTTGTTTGTTTGGTGTATCAGATTATTGCTTACTGGATGGGTCTGTTTTACTACATAGGTGTGTTGGCCTCAGACTGAGAGCCCTGAGGAGCATTTTGGGTTTCATTCTCCATGCAGGCAATTATCTCAGACTTATCCAGAGGTGAAGAATGCAACAACAGCAGAAGCACTGCCACTGGAAGAGGCCTGAGCTCCTTTACTCTTACATCTTCCATCCAATTTCCCTGTCCTTACCTCCTTTCTCTTCCTCCTTCAGTGTCCTCAGAGCCGGTGTCTTGAGACCCTTCTAGTTGCTTTCACACTGGTTTCTCCAAATTCCTGACCTCTCAGACTCATTTCTTACTCCCTTGGTTTCATCCTTGTTCTGTCTCTCTCAGCAGTGGTACTTCTGCTGTGGGAGTCAGGCACTTTATTCCCCAGTTTGTTTGGCCCTCATGCCCTGTCCCCTGCATCCCAGATGCTGCTGCTGCATCACTCCCAGAACCATTGTTTAAGTACCCAGCAAGGTAATGTGCTCCACACAGTGCCTGAGCCTGGCTTGGGGCACCTTCCCAGCTCTGCTAAGTTTGACACAACAACCTGTGTTACATCAGGTTAGAATAAAACATGGCCTGAATTCTGTGGTTATATAAACACCACAGGCTCCAGTGAAGTCTAAAGAGAAACACCCATTTATATCATCAAAGGTTGTCTTTCTGTATATAACTTACTGGGAAAGAATTTAATAATGAATATGAAATGAAAGTAGATTGACTCAGACTAGCTGCTCACACAAGGCACAACTCCACAGTAAAAATGTTATGACTTACCAGTTGTGACTTAGATCTTTAGATGTTGAAAATCAGTACAGCTTCCTTGAAATTCAAGGAGGCATAGCATTTTACACCAGTTGCCATTTGGGCCCTTCTGTTTCATGGGCAAATCAAAGCCATGAAAAGCTTCTCTTTCCTACAGCAATTTTAACAGCATAAAAGGTAACAAGTGCAACCCCCCTGTATTTTGTTCTTTACTTTCTTGTGCTTGCATAAGCAAAAATGCCAAGGATTTTGCAGTTTATCTTTGAGGATGTTGGCTTTGGAGCTTGCAGAACTATTTTTAGGAAGGCTGCTGTGGCCTTTGATTTGCTTTCCATTGAGATTACAAGGCTGAGCCTTGTTCCCTAGATAGAATTATTTAGTAGGGTGTTGAAGACAGGATTGAAAAGACAAAGTTTTACAAGTCAAACCCTGTAAAACCTGAACTTAGAGTCTGTGGAAAGTATTTACATACATATATATTACTAGTTTCTAATGAACAAAATTATTGCCAAAGAGATCAGACCAAAGAAAGAGACCTGCTCTGTGTCTCAGATTGCAGAGGGATCAGACTGTGTTTTCAGTTGCTGTGAAACTAATCTATAAACGAGAAATGGGCCTGGATCAATTACTCATTGGATTTGGAACAAAATCAGAACTGAATCAGATACATAAGTAACCTCAGATAATTTCTTAGTGTGTATTGGAAAAGCTGTGTTAGTTTCAGTTAAAGCTTCAGTAGCTTTAATTAGCTCCAGTGTACTGACATGGCATTTGACTTCCCATCCTCTTCCCTTGAGTCACAGCTCCCATTGCACAGGCTTGGCAAAAATGGGTGGTACAAATAGCCTGGTGGGTGTCAGAGAAAGATATTTTTGGTTTTGTTTCCAGGGAGAAGCTTGCATCATGGGAGCAAAAAGGATCTACAGGAAGCGCAAGTCAGAGAAGAAATGCATGCAAGGAAAATATGCTGGGGCTATGACCTCGGAGCCATGTGTGTGCACAGAGGCAGACTTTGACTGGTGAGCAGTGGGCACAAGAACTGTGCGCTCTTTACCACACCAATGCAGAGCTCACTAGAGATGCTGTAGTCTTGCAGAGAATAGAAATTAATGAACATGTAAGTGGCCAAATAAGTTGCTCCCTGATAGTGCAGGTATGTCAAAAGAAGGAAAGGTGGAATAGGTGTATGTAATCTGCTAAGGCTCCCACAGAACTGGTGCTGAACAAACCATTTTCCAGGTCACATCTGAACTCTGTGCAGCATTAAGATAAAAGGCCCATTTAACACATCTAACCTCAGCAATGACCAGGGATGTCTGTGGAAGTAGTATGTAAGACATATATAGTGTGCATAAAAAATAAGATGAATTCTTTATACATATACACACCACGTATGTATGTGTAAAAGTAAATATATGTATATCTAGATTCTGGAAATCAAGTTATCTAGGGAATTCCTGGGGCATTTCTTACATCTGGACCGTCATGTTTGATAGTATCCAACAGACAGTGCCTTCATGGTTTGGTTTAATCTCCTTCTGAAGTCTTTTCTCTTCTGCTCTATGCTATAGGAAATAGAGTCCATTGGTGAGTTATGAATAGTGTGATAAAATGTTCAGCTTCTAGTTTCATTTCAGGATTCCTGCTGACTCACAGCAATTTGCACAAAAAATGCAGGGAACCACATTATTGAAATCTCTCTGTCACCTGTTTTCTCCAAGTCTGAGACAGTCAAGAGTATCTCAGAAGAGAGAAATGGTGGCTCCTTGGCAGTGCTGATAAAAACCCTTTGTGCCTCACCCAGCTAGATCTATGCCACATTATTAATTAAACTCAGCATCTGTAACACACACCCTGAAGGGGTTCATCTTATAAATATTTGTTTCTTGTTATATGAGTTCACTCCAGGACCATGAAAATTTACAGCATTTTCTTTCTCACCCTCCCATAACTAGTTATATCAGTTTTTCTGTATAAGGTCACAGAATCACAGGAGGCTTTTCCATGTTTCAAAAAAAGTAAATCCTCTTACACCAAACAACAAAAATTATGAGCACACTTGGGCACTGATTCACTGAATATGGTTTTCTGATTATTTCCTCATCCTCCAATGAGTTCTCTGTTAGAGAGAAGATACATCAGTTCTGTGTGTCGTTCATCATTTAGGTGCCCAAAGGTCTTGTATTTCAACCATTTAAGATATTGCTAGTAATATAAAAAAGATATCTGCCAACCAGAAAAACATGAATGGGAAGGAAATTCCCAGAATATTTTGACCCTTTTATAGTGCATGCAGTACAAAGCTGTGCTAAGCTCATGCCCAGGCTCAAGAGAATAACTGGTGGGATTGACTCATGGTCAGTCCATTAGAGGTTAAATCCCTTACACTCCTAAGGGACACACACTCATGAAACTCTTCTGATGAAAATCCACTTTGCTTCCAGAACTTCTCTCTAAGAATGTATGTTTTTATTTCATTAAAATTGATTGTGTGGTTTGCTACTACAAAACTTTTTTGCTAGGTACAGAACAAAAGTACCATGGTGACATTTGCTGGAGGGAACATGCTTTTATTTCTTTTACATTCACTTCGAGGAAACTTTCTGCAAAAAGTCTGCTGAGTTGTGAGATAATCTTTAAGAGAAAACTTGGATGGTTGGGGATGTATGACAGATGCTCACAGTTCACTAGCATCAACAAGCTCCCTCAAATCTGTTGGAAGAGGCAGAATTAGGACTTTGCAAAAGTCATCTTGTTAAAAGTAGCCTGAGAAAAATACCCTTAAAAATACTGCAGGTCTCTGTGCTGAGCTGACTGGTAGAAAGCCTTCCTGACCTAGTAAGGCCTTCCTCCTTCTGATGGAATCAGCTTTGGTTTAGAGCAGACTGTCGTGATCCCCTCCTATTCTTTCTGAGTTCTTGTTATTCCTACAATCCTCAGATCTGGATTTTTACTTTATCCATTTCAGCTTCCTTCCCCACTGACTGAGGAAAAAAAGACTGAGACATTGCTTTAAGCATTCAGTTCAGAAATATTTAGCAACACAGTTTTACATAGATTTGCCAGAGAAGGACAGAAAAGCCACAGGGAAACAGAAGAGAGAGGTTTATGAAGGAAGGATAAAAGATGGCAAGAAAAAAGCAATTCTGCTGGTTCAACTGAATTTCTCAGCCCAGTTTTATTGTGCTAAGAAAGGCAAAGCTGCTCCTCTGCCATACCAGCAGTGCCCGCCTTGTTGAACTCTGCGCTAGGCTTCACTGCTGATACACCCAGCAGAAGTTGGTCCAAAGAGGCATTTGGAGGGAAATCAGTGAATGAATTCTTGCTGTGGAAGGATGCCCTCTGTGGGGTCCTTCCTGCAAAAGGAAGAAGCACTTTAATCATCCTCACTGATGACATTTCAGCAGTGCTTTTGAGTTCTCTATTTCTCTTTTTTTTCTGGGGAGGGCTCTTAATTGAAGGAGATTGAAGGGGACATGTGTCCCGCAGGCAGGGAGAAGCCCCTTAGCTGACTGCACTTGATTTTGCAATCTTGAAATAAACTGGGCAGCTTTTTCTATTAACATCAATAGTTACAGGACCCACACTTGTATACAGAATTAAAAAAGACAACAATCCCTGTCCTAATCAGTGTAAGACTTTCTTTGCTGTTTAAAAACTGAATTTATATGGAGGAAATTTAATTACCTAAGCTTGTCAGAGCTTGGAGTAAAAAAATGTATCTCTGGTCAGGTAAAGGGGGGAAAAAAAAAAAAAAAGTATTATTGCTGAAAAAATGCCAGTTATAAAAGACATAAAGATTTTATGTTTTTTCTCCTGGTAATATCACAGAACTCCAGGTTCACTTCAAATCAGTATTCAGCCCATGGTAGTTCTTTCTCAGAGAACAGGGCACATTTGTTTATTGTTTTACACAGCAACAAAACTGAGTGACATTAAAAATGACTGTAGTTTTTCTAGCCTTGGGAACCTGAGCTCTTCCGACTGTAGACGTCTCTTATCATGGGCTAGAACCAAAACTAGCCGGGGCTAGGGTCGAAGCGGCAGGTATTTGTTTTCCGTGCAGGGGCTGAGGCTCGCAGCCAGAGGGCAATAGCGCTTCAGAAATACGGGGGAGTGGAAATGTGCAGATCCCTCGGCAAATCTTGCCCTAGCAACGGCCTAGAAACGAGAATGTCCTTCTTCATTTAATTGATTTGGGTAAATGGATGATACCGTTACTTGTGTGTTATTAAAGCATTAATTTTCCCAGTTTCCTTACATTGTGTTCCTTCCTGCCGTTTGAGCATTATTACGGCAATATCTCTTCAGTCGAAACACCTCCTAGACACGGATGGAAATCTTTGGTGGTGTTCATCCTTCAGCTAACTGTCTCCCAGGTCCTTTAATAGAAGCTTTGAGTTAAGTGTCTCACTGTCTGAACCCACGGTCATTAATACTGAGGGCTGCTTCTATCAATAGTGCCATATCTTGCACCTTCATGGGAAGTATGAACCTGTTGGTACTGGTGCTAGTGACTTTGAATAGTCAGAAAGGCACAGAGAAGCCTTAGTGCAACTGCGAATCGGGTCTATTTATTTCACCGATGATATCAACAAGGTTCTGGGTAGCTCTTTTTTTTATTGTCTGGCACTTAAATTACAGACCTGCCTGCTAAGTTTATTCTTACTCTAAAACATCAGAGTCCTGTGTCATGAGAAACTGTCCTGACAAACTGTGAGGAAGCAGAAGGCAAATACTGAATGTGATTAGACTCTGTTGGCTTCATGTGTTACCAATGATAAGTTCAGATGATCATGCAGGTGCCAGTTCTGAAATACACATACATTTGCACATTTATGTTAACTAACTTTGCTTTATCATTGAAGTAGGCTTGGTTAGCTAACGAATAGTAATTTTGAATGAACTTTTTGTTCATTTTGAATGCTTGTGGAAAATGCAGGATCACTATGCAAAGTCTACAGTGCATCTCTGCATCTTTAGGGGTCTAGAGATCTACCATGAATGAATTTACTGGAAAGATTCTGGGGATTTCAGGTTCCCTGTTAACATAATATATAGTATAGTTCAACTCCAGATGCTGTAATGCAATTATAATCATATGCCTTCATAGATCCATAATTCAAATGCAGCTGAATCCATCCTTCTCTGAGATAAATCCCATGTCAGATTCTGTAGGACTGGGAAGCAAGCACAGCTCCCCTTTAACACAATTCTACATTTTTATCATAGTTCAATATTAGACAGTGGTATTAAGTGAATAAAAAGGTGGTAAGACTTTTCCTTGTCTGTGGCTACAGTTATTTTTTTCTACAAGGGCTTTTGGAAACTGCAGAACAACGGTGACTATAATCACAGGTACCTCAATTCCACCTCATTTAATGTCTGAAAAGTTCACAAAGAACAGCATACAAAACCTTAAGTAGCATTTTCAGGTTTTGGTGTGGTTGACCTTAAGGTAAAGCTGTTAGTGTTAAGGAATGTTAAGTCATTTATTGAATTTTGGAAGGTATGAGCATGCCAATCACTCATGTGACTTAACTGGTTATTTCTGTATCTTAAAACAATGGGATTTTAATAATTTCATGTGGATTTACATGACAGTATGTTTGTCAGGTCTGTACTCAAGCGACGAACTTCCTTAAAGGATTTAATTTCCTTTTATTATTACCTGTGCTGCAAATAATCTTAGATAATGGAATTTACCATGAGCTTTGAGCAGGGATGTAGAACTTCTGGTATTAATTCATATCTGTCTCTACAGAGAAGGACTTGCAATTCCACTTGACTAGGACAAATAAAATTCCAGTTTAAACCAGTAAGAGGGGCCAGGGTAGGACCATCCTCAGTGAGAGCCACAGAATGGGTTGCTTCATACTAATAAAACAGTCCCTGCTGGTAAATGCTTCCCACTCTCTTGATAGATACATTATCTATTTCACCTGAATTCTTTTCAGGCAGGCACAAAATATCATCAATATATGCAAATTCGAATTCTCAGTTACCAGGCAATGACTCCGCTGGCTGATTGCAGTCTAAAGCTGAAGCCTTCCCTCTCTCCAAATTCTGCTATACTAGCTCGTGCTATGGCAATCCAATCGATGCTAATGCTTGTTGATTGCTACGAAGCCTGTTGTGCCAAATTGTAGGCAGCAATTTGTTGTCAGCACCAGTGTTCTGCGTGCACCAGCCTGTAGCCAAGGAATTCATTAGATTCCAAGACTGCAGAGGTGAATGAGCGGCTGGTGCATCTGTAGAGAGATATGGAACAGCAATTCATGTCATTTACTGGGATGATATTTCTGCAGGGCCTTAATGAGCCAGACGATTTGCAAGCCTGAAAACAACACTGTGAAACTTCTGTACTTATAACTATTTCTGCTGTGGAAAATCCTATGATTTCATTCTCTTGACTCTGAGAAATATGATCCAAGTATAGTCAAACCTAGTTAAGTCAAGCTTGGCTTGTCCAGATGTGCAAGCACTAACAGGAACCAAAATTATGGTATGAGTCTAGACGTGTGTATAGTAAGAAATCCCAGACTGATACTACTCTATCAAATTGGACTATGGGTACTGATCCCCTCTGAGACAGATTGTACTATATTATTTTGGTTTGTTTTCACCTAACTGATTATATTGTGTGTGTACAGTGTTACAGCTTTTTAATCAGTGACACGTGGTAACCTAGGAATACAGTACTGTGGAGTGTTGACAAATGAATTACAAAATTACGGGGGTCCCACTTGTATGTAAATATTTGTTTTCTCTAAGCAAATCAGAACAGTGTTATTCTTCATTATAAAGTGTATTCTGCAGCTATAGTGTTCTTATTCCAACAAGTATGATTAGAGAAGCACATGGCAGTGGGAGAATAGGCTGGCTGATGCTTTCAAAGCAATTAAGCAACATTCAGTCACTAGCATCTGAGTAAATAGATTGATGAAAATTCAATCAAAAAACTGAGGAAAAGACCATTTAGGTCATCTACTTCATTGCCATTTCCTAGAGTATGTTCTCAATTACTAGTTGTAGATATCCCAAGCATCACAGCTGCCAAAATGTTCCTTTGGAACAGTCATGCAGTCTAATAGATGTTTAGTTTTCCCAAGTGATACCCAGCTTTAAATTTCTTTTGCTTAATGCCTTCCTTTAAATTTCTCCTTTCTTAGATTACCTCAAACCTTTTTTTTCTCCTGATTCAGAAAAGTTTCAGGCAGGAGTAAAAGTGGTGACAAAATTCTCAGTGTCCTGCTTTTCATAACAAGTATAAAAAATTTAACAGAAAGAAATTGCAAAATATTGTCTCCTTTTTTTTTCCATCTCATATCTTAGATCAGTACCAGACTACTTAAAATTGTTTAACAGTGAGTCATTAAATTTTTGTTCTAAGCCATCGTACATTGATCTAGAAAGAAAAAGACATTTGAAAAAAGTCTTCACTATGTTAAGCATTCATGTTGTTGTTATTATTCTACAAATATCATTAATCTCACTGCTGCCTATTGGGAGATGCTGAATCCAGTAGCCTGATAGAGGTGAGGTTGTTGCAGCTCTGTGTCCCCTGACCAAAGCAGTAACAAGGTTGAGCCTGTATGTACGGTACATATATGTATATGTACTCGTCTGGTGACACAGATTAACACAAACAGAAAACACAGCACTCACACAAACACCGGTTGCCTCATTCTGTTCCCCTCTAGGGTTGATCAAGATGAAATACCATTTGTGGACAATACCTTCACTATAAACATACATACAATATTGATCCTACCAGTACCCATCTTTGTCCAGTATCTGGCTCCTGGATGCCTTGCTGACAAGTGGGCATCCCTTATGCATAGACATACACAAGTGTAACAGATCTCACAAGCAGGTCCACACCTATATGGCTTTACACCAGTAGCCATTACCCCTGACCTCTTGGTCTCTCCAGTAACCAATTCATAGATTTATCCCATGATATCCAGCCCAGACTTATGAGCACATCAGCACCTAGCTCACAAGTCTTTTATCCTACCCTCTGGTTTGTCTGGCTTGGTGCTCACCTGCACAGTATGCACACACTCCAGTCAGTCCAGTTGCTGAGAGTGCAGGCACGTGGATCCCTGTGACTTGTGGTCTGAGTCCAGTGTCTGAGACTTAGACCAACAGACACACACACACACCAGATAGCCCCTCACCCAGGAAAACAGAAATGGGGATGCCAGCTACTCTTCCATGGCATGGCATAATGAGCCCCATACCCCTGTGTACAGTAACCCCACTCAGTGATCTGCAAAGTGATCTGGGGAGGATCTCTCCCATTGATGATCTGGTAGGTCTCACCCTGGCCATGGGCTGATAGCTTTTCCTGTGACAGCCCTGGGAGCTTGGGCAGGGGCTCCACTGGCTACCACCAGGTTATTGGGGTTCTTCTGCCTACTGTTTTTCCTCTCTGCTTCTTTATGTATAGAGAGATGAGCCTTTAATCATGTAATCTAATGCTGCCCTAATCCTCTCTTAAGACTATCAGGCTGCTTGGTACCAAGACATTAAAGATAATAAGCAAAAAAAGGGCTTTGCAAAGACTTGCCATTTTAAGATCATGTTGCAACTGGAATGTTGGAATGGAGTTGGTAGACTCTGTCTGTATAGTAGTTTTCAGAAATGACATCCCCTTAACTTTTCTGTTATGGACAAAGCTTAGTAAAAGGAATAAGAATGATTCTCTTAACCAAACAGTTCTCGTTACTCAACAGCTGGAGACTCAAACCACATGTGAATGAAATACTGATTAAAGAGGTTTTTGTTTTTTATTTGTTCCACAATAACAATTTTTATAGAGTCTTTGTTTATCTGTAATCAAAACAAATTTGAACTGTTGCTTAGTGGAACCAAAACAAATTTAGTCATAGCTAAACCCAAATTGGGACTACAATTACAGTTTGACTCGTTTCTAACACGATTTTTGGTAACGTTTCCTCTTCCAAACTAAATTAGAATTGAAGATCACAGTCTTCTTGTCCATTACCAAATATGCTGTTTCTATTCCTAAATATACCTTTGGCCGAGAGCTCTCTCAGGGCTGTAAATTTTTCTCTACAACTCATGTGATATAGTTTCCAAATACAATGAACTGTTTAGCACTTTAGTTTTCTACTATATGACTGATACATACAGCATCAATCATATCACTGATACAGTGATAAAGCTTAGCTTAGATCTCTAGCTTTTATTATGTTTGAGTCTAGAGCTGAACCCAAGAAGCACTGTTAAACTGTGGAGGGAGAACACTTAAAGCAATAGCTCGTAAACTACCTGGTCTGGTTCTGCTTGTTTATACTGGAACATATTCAAGGTAACTCTACTCCCCCAAAAAAACCTAAAGCAGGATGAATCTGTTTTATCAATAAAAAATCAGAAATCCTAGTTAAACAGTTTGGGAAGATCAAAACTCGTAGGGTAGTAGAAAGCGTGAACTAATACCTGTATTTGTTCTTTTGCTTTTTATGTGGTGGTTTCTTCTAATGCTAAAACAGCGATTATGGATATGAACGTCACAGCAATGGGCAGTGTTTACCAGCATTTTGGTATAACCCATCTTCCTTGTCAAAAGATTGTAGCCTTGGGCAGAGTTATCTCAACAGCACTGGGTAAGTGGCACACCAGACTATTATTTTGCGAGAGCACTCATATGGACTTTAACCCCATGACAACTAGAATAATACATGTGTCTCAAAGCTCGCTGAAGCCCTCAGGGCCTCTTCTTTCCTGGCTTTGTTAGGTTGCAGAGTCTGGCACCCCAGATCTCCATCACATATGGTCCAGACCTTTCTCTGAAAAATGATGCCTTAAAGAAACTTGGGGGGGAAACTGTAAGGTAAAGGCCAAATCATTAATGTCTGAAAAGACTCCTGTTAAAGTCATATGGGATCAGATGAGGCAGAAATGGTGGAAAACAAATTAGAGGAAAGAGATGAAACTAATGTACATGTGAACTGAAGTAATAGATGGGCAACTAGCCCAAATGCTGATTATTCTTTTGCTGTCTTGGAAGTCAATAGAAGATGTAGTTTAAGTTAAGATACTGACCTCAAACTTCATTTCTGATGCAAGTGATTAAAGCAAACAAAGCAACCCAAGCTGTGTTTTGGCATTTTGAACACTCAGAGATAGGCAGACATTGCTGTTTTCTTCAACTCTTATTTTCATAGCTGTCAAGGGTTGCGTCTTTAGAGGGAGTTGCCTCACAACTGATGAGAAATGGAAAGCATGTGAGAAAAGCTGTTAAACTGTGCCTCAGTATAATAATTGAATACAATTACATACTGTATGTGTATATCTTTTATTAATAACTTTATAATTATTTAGCAGGTAGCATAGATCATCATAAAATTTTATGTTTTAGGCAATCCATTAATATGTGGTATATAGATGTGCTATGTAGGAAAATATTGCACACCATTAGCAACAGTATTAACTACTTGTATGTTAGGCACATGAGGAATGCTTGGCTGAAACAAATGCTAAAATATATTTAGGAATCTGTTTTCTTCCAGTCTCTTTAGTATAAAGAAATCTCAAAATACCTCCCTTTTCCCAGTTAATCCTGTTATGCTCTGTCAGCATCTTTCTGACAGATTTCTTTTCCTTTTCAGATACCGGAAAGTTGTTTCTAATAACTGCACGGATGGTGTGAGAGAACGATACACAGCAAAACCACAGCAATGTCCTGGCAAAGCCCCCCAGGGCCTTCGCATAATTACGTCTGATGGCAAACTGACAGCCGAGCAAGGACACAATGTCACTTTCCTGTTGCAGCTGGAAGAGGTAGGCTCTATTTTTATGTTGCGTCCCAGGCCCCATGGGTGTTTTTGAGTCTGATTCATGCTAGACAAAGTTTGGAAAGTGTTGAAGAGGTGAACCAAAAGACTGTGGGATAAAGTCAGTCAGCTCCATGATGTAGCTGGGTGGAATTTGCTCTAAAATGGAGTGGATGATGTATGGAGATGGTAAGACTGTAAGAGTACTGTGGTTGCATAGGGTAATAGCTGGAAGAAGTTGATAAAAACTGGGAACTGGTTTGGTTTGGAAATTTCACAGTTAATTGGAGAGTGCAGGTTTGAATCCTGATCCCCACCCTTAACTGTGCTTTTGACTTCTTGCTGTGTTTGAAACTCAATTTCCATTTTACTTGCCCCCCCCCTTTCAACCAAACATGGAGCAAAGTGCAAGTGCAGGTCTGTCCCCATTGCACAAGTTGGTACATAGTATTTAGACATTTGTGCGTGAAATCTCAGCAGCAGCAGCATCGAGGATGAAATTGATTGCAAGTATGAAGCTGATTCAGACTCTGATAAGAACCTGTGGTTTTGTTACGTCTGTAACTTAGTATTTCATTGTTCCACTCCATTTCTGAATCTGTAGAAAAACGTTTAAAATCTTTTTGCCTGTTTTTTCTTCTCCACACTTCTTTATCTATGTTCATTTGTAGACTCCCAAATAATAATATTCACAAAGTAACTATTTCCTCTTTTCCCCTAATCCAGTTTGATTTCTTTAAGCTTCTCCTTCTTTAAGTTTCTTGTGTAGCTGGCCAATAAATCCTAAAACAACTATGTTTTTACACTAAGGGACAATGTACATCCCTTTACAGCTTAGAGCATTTATGGAAATTACTTCTGACCCTCTCCATAAGTAAATGTCATCTGCAGTGAGGAAAGAGAAATGAGGATGACCTCTGGAGCTGAGTTTTTTAGGGGTGTCTTGGGGTTTTTACATCTATATTATTGATGCTTTACCCAGTAAACAGGTGTCCTGATTTGTAAAGGGAATAACATATAATAAATCATATCTAACCTGAAGCAGTAGTTTGACCTGAATGTTTATCTCCAAAATGTGGTCACTTTATTTCAGTAGTGACAGTCATACAACATTGCCTCTGTAGATCTGTCTTAGCAGTATAAACATGTAATTTCATATGGATTAATTATTAATGTCTGTGTTTAAAGACAAAAAAAGTCCAAAACATGCTTCTGAGTTTTCAGGCTTTATAACGAAATTTTAAAATTTTTTAAAAGATTTTAAAAAGTGTTCGTGGCATGTCCTTTCTATTCTCAGTGAAGTTTTAAAACAGACTGAGAGAAGGAGATGGGTAATCTGAGAAGTCAGTCACAAACTATCCAGGAATTATGCCAGTAATTAGAAGGAGAGACAATCACCCACAGTGGGGGGAACTCAGGACAAATGTCCTGCTCTTATTTCTGTGAGTTTTTCAGCTCATATATTCTGTAAGAATACCCTGACCACTGTCATGCAGGGATCTGCTGTGAATTGTTCTGTCTTTTCTGTTGATTCTGATCTTTTTTGATAGCTCTGCTTCGGTATTCACCAGAATCGAGAAGCAACACCTCCATTAAGAGATGCTATCTTTCTCATGCTGTGTATCAAGGAGTACTTAAAGTATGATTTAATAAGTGAGTCAACTTCTGAGGAGATCTAAAGGTGGCCCTACTATCAGTATATCCGATAAGGAAGAGGTTAGGAATTGCCCTGAGGGCTGAAACAGTATTGATCAACCTCCAGCCTTTCTGATTGCTCTCCCTGCTAGATGAATCTTGACCTCTTGCTCCTAGATTTGTCAATATAAAGAGTTTAGAGAGCAACAAAACTTTTGACCCGGTCTGACAATACTTTGGGTTGGTGTTGCAGAAAAAAAATATTCAATAAAGAAGAACATTTGCCCAGCTATATGCAAGCTATAGCAGAATAAACTGTGGTTATAGCAGCATAATTGTATATACACTAAAGCACTTACAGAATTAACTGTTTCAGTAACAAAAATCACACCACTCACTAGAAAAGTTAAACAATCCAGCAAAAGAACAAACATCCTTTTATAGAATAGATACTGATTTCACAGAATAATTGAGGTTCGAAAGGAACTCTGGAGATTGTTTAGTGCAGCCCCACTTCTAAAAGGGAAGTTTCTTTCCCTTTCAAACATGGCAGAGGTATCACAAAACAAGGACTATCCATTTTCTTTTTAGTTCTGCCCCGCACAGGTATACAGCATGATACAATCCTGGATTTTCAGCATCGACAAAATCTGTGCCACTCCATTTTTGCTGAAGAGAAGGCATCAGGCAAGTTAAAAAAGGCTGGATATGTCCGTGTATGCATGCACAGTTTTTCCCAATGGCATATGAAGAAAGTGTGTCTTATTCAACCCTTGCCCCCTGGAGTGGTGGTCAGTATTTTTAAGTGCTACACCCTGGTGAAGACTCTTCCTTTAGCTTCTATCACAGTTAATATCTTTTAGGACGTAAAAAACCAGTAGCCTTTGCTTATGTTGTAGTCCCTTTGCATCTTAACATCTACTGTATCCCTCTGAGACAGTTTGAAGCCTTCAGAACTGCAGAGCTGTTCCACAGACCACAGCCTCCCAGCTCTCTTTTTTCATGCCTATATTCCACTTGACCTACGGGGGGGGGAAAAAAAAAAAAAAAAAAAAAAGAAGGAAGGTAAGATGGTGAGCCAAGGTACAAGAGTTTGTTTGAGATTTATACTACTGTTATCTTTCTAGGTCATTCTGCTCCATCTAAGGACCCACCTGGGTCTGAGAAGAAGAGTGAACTGCTGAGGCAGGCTCATTGGAGGCCCTGAGAAGTCACTGCATCTCTGTAGTGGAGGGAATTACTAAAAGAGTAGGGAGAGACAAATGACAGCAGTAAAAAACTGCCCCTCAGGTATGGTATTGAGGGGCAGGAATCACAGCACAGGGGTTTCTTGTAGACCTTGCTCGTGCCTGTGGTGATGCTGAGGGCCAGGACTGTGTCATTCTGACAATAACACAATGTCAGTGAAAGATGTCTGAAGAGAAACAAGGACAAGGCATTCAGAAATATTCTGCTATTGAAGAAGACACAAAAGGAAAATAATCACTAAAGTCTGTGCAAGTGGAGAGGGGGCAGGCACCAAACCCAGCAGTGCATAGAACATTGCTGATTTCTGAAGGCTGGGATTCTGGCTCAGTTTCTCTAAGCCTGACTCATGTGAAATTTTCCTGTAAAGCATTTATATCTAACAGCATGTAAATATCATTAAAAGCAAAGACAAGCAACAGCTCATATTTAAATGATCTGGATGTGAGAATGTTTTCCAAAGTAGTCTAACTTTCCTGTCACCTTTTAGGGTTTCTGTATGACCTCTTAAAAACTGTTTGCAAAGTCACCTTGCACTTAATATCTTTGGTTCCGTTATCGGAAAGTTTTATGCAGGTTAGTCCTCCTATTAATCTGGGTATAATCATCATGATATTCTTACTGCATGACAACAGCCAGGAAGCATCAGTATTTCCTTTTAAAATTAGCATATGTCCCATTCTACAAAGCATTATAGAAGTGTTTAATAAGCAGAGCACCATACTTAGAGCTGGTAATTTTGCTCTTAAATTTCCATTGAGCTAAGCAGAATAGCAACAACATCTTTGTCACTAAATGGCAGCACAGGAAAAAACTAATTATGCTTAAAAGCAAATTTTCTCATTGCCTCAAAATGCTGCCAGTTTAAAGCTTAATCTTTTACCCTGGTCTGGACTGTGTTAACAGACCCAAGGCTGGTAACTCTCATACTGCAGCGTTCAATAACAGTTGTTTCTCAGCCTAAACAACCTGAATCCTTACTTTGTTTTTTTCACAGCAACAAAAGAAACTCAAAATCAAAAATTACAAAGGTATTTTTCCTACTGAAGTTTTTCAACCCAATGTCCTTGACATATTTTGCTGCTTTGTTGTAAAAATAGAGAATTTCACTAAGTGGGTGTTGTTTCTGTGTGCCTTCCTCATCACATGGTTGTGTAGGTCTCTTGCCTGTCACAAACCCAATTGTTATTTGGGTGTTTGAGTTATTTGTATGAACATCAGACACTTGTGCTTGCCGTACTGCTTCAGGAGAGACACTGAAAGCTGCAGCCTCCCGAACAACACTATTCAACACAATGGCTTTCAAACTGGTTTCATCTGATTGCTCATACATCGTTGCTGAGGAAATGGACAGTAAAGATACTCAGGGCAGAAAGGTTCAGGGCTTTGACTGTTTCATTACAGATAATTCACAGAGAAACTGCCTCCTCTAATTTATTTTTTATCTTGATAAAATGACAGCCAAAAGTCTTTGACATTCTAGGTCTGCCTCAGTACTCACTTGACAAAGTCACTCCACTGGGAGTAGATTTTGTCTTGGTTTTGTCTATTTGCTGCTGGTATATGATGTTTGGATTAGACTAATGTGCAGGGAAAGCTCATTTGTTCCTACAGTTCAGACCATGGGCTAGAATTCAGGCAATCTGAACTCATTTCTGAACCAACTCTGAGCTCCTTCTGCATAATCTTGAGTAAGAAACTTAACCTTTCTGCTTTTTTATTCACTCATTTGAAAACAGAGCTTTCTTTCTGCCTCATGCTCTCCATGCCTTTTATTTATGTGCTGAATGCTCATAAGGCCAGAGAACTGTCTCCTACCATGTGAATATACAGAGCCCTGAATTTCCTAAAGACCACTGTGGTTTTCTGTAATGACAATATTAATATATGGCTGTGTAAGATATGTTGTGTCTCAGGTACATTTAATGAGCTTGGGGACCCTGCTGGGGGGACAATACCATTAGCATTTCCCACCTCGGTACCACCGTTCAATGCAATTCAGAATTCGACTCAGCTGAAGTCTCTGGAGATGAGTTTAGCATTATTTTGATTGTTTATGTACTCAAAGATGCAAAGCTAGTAGTACATAAAAGCATAGTCTGTACTTTTTTGTGGTATCCTACTGTGTTCCCTCTTTTGATATCACAAGTTAGGAATGATTACAGAAATATGAAACCTTCATCCTAACTTCCAATGCACATGCTGAATCATGGCTGTTTATCTTAATGACACCACCACATTCCTGTTAATAACACACAGATGAAAGATCAGTAGATCCCCTCCCCCATACCACTGTCATCTGAATTATAATTGCATTTTCTCTATTACTGATGATGACAAGCTGGTTGGGAGAAATCAGAGCCTTTCATGCATTTTTAAATTCACTGCTGAAATTCCATGAAAATGTATGAAAGTTGACCTCGCCTTCATGATGACACACAGTGCTACAGTCTTCTAATGCACTTCCAGTCACACAAGTTGAATTATTCTGCATAATCCTGAGAGGCTGTGCTTATTGATTCCTGTGGAACACAGAAGATCTAGTCCTGCAGGAAAAGCTCATAGCTGAGTTGAGCTGGCACAGTTGTCAGTCAGAATAAATTATCTGGTATGTACAATTAACTGTTTTGGTGTAGAAAAAGAAGTACATGTGAAAAGTATCAAGCTATTTCCTCTGATAGAAGATCCATTTCTATTCAGTTTCTGATTTTTAAAAGTTAAGAGCATCTTTCTGAAAGCAGGAATTTACACAGGAAGGCATGTTTTTCAGTACTTGATCAAGTTGGACTTGAATATCTGTTTAAAATTAAGGATACGCTTTAAACAGGCCTAGACTAACAGTATCCCATGCGTAGAAATTCAGTTGCAATGGAAATGTCTTTGATGGATGTTTTCAGATAGTGACAGGAAAATGCCAAAGAGGGAAAAGGGTTAATCTAAAGAAAGCACAAAACATTAATCCATGAAGGCAATCCAACAATAGCAGTGTCTGTCTCTTGCAAAGGATAATTAAATCCATTATCAGCATCTGTAAGGAAGATGCACAAGTTGCATAATTTAAGACTTAAAAATTAAATCTGAGACATGGGAACCAAAATTAAAACCCTTGAACCGAGTTTCATTGTTTTAATACTTCCATTTAGTTATAAATACTGGAAGTCAATAAGGAGACTTCATTATTACAACCTTCTGGGCAAGATTCAGATGGAGTGTTGGAGAGAGAATCTTGCTAGGTGGGTCTCACATCTCACATACGCCAAAATACTGAGAGCTCCATAAAAGTAATCAAAATGTAAAAATATTGTTGCAAACTGTATGGGCTGTTTCTTGATATATCCTGAGGCAGGAAGCTTCACAGAGTTTTTTTTAAGCATCCAGGTCTAGTGTATACTCTCAACTCTTAGCAAGACAATGGAAAAATCTGCATTTGGCTTTGGAGGGCAGGGAGGGAAAGGAGGGAGGGGAATCTTTTCTGTATGCTTGGAAAACAGTAAATTTCTGACTTACATTTTCATAACAAATATTGTATAGGTAAAGGGCATAATATGAGGTGTTGGGAAACTTGTTTTTAATTCTCAGGGTTTACTTTTCAGGCTAAAAGTAGTAGTCATATGCTTAAAGTTCAGCATATGCTTAAGTCTTTGGCTGGACTAAGCCTTTATCAAGATTGTAGTGTTATATCCAAGTTCGTGCATATTACATATACTAAGTACAAGGTAAAAAAACACCCATCAAAAGTACTTTGATTTTTTGCAGCTGTTGTAATTGGTTGCTGATTAGCTTAGTGTGCTGAAAATACAGGAGCTGAATGCAGAGATACCACCCCAAGCAGCCAACTTGGCACGTTTCTCCCCTTGATGCCTTAGAGCACTGGCGCTAAAGACCTCTTACAATGAAGGCCAGAAAGGCTGCCCAAAGATAGCTTGGTGGTGATTGCATCCAAGTGCTTTGCTGTGGCTGCAGAAGTGATGCAGGGAGTTTTGTGTCTGCCTTATTCGAGCTAAAAGCTTCAGAAAAACCCTATCATGCAGTATTGGGCTTGTCAAAACGACAAGGAGAAGCTGGAAAAAGCAACAGGAGAGGTTTCTGCAAGATGTATGTATATGCATCAAGTTGTTGCAAAACAAAACTTCTCTTGGTGAAACAGCCATTTGCAAGTGGCTCTGGAAAGCTGCCTGAGACAGATAAAGCTGGGGTTGATGTACATCAGGTGTGGGCTCTATGGGAAATGTTTTGATTTTGGCTCACCTGCTTTCTCTTCCTGTCTTATTCTGCCTATGCTCTTACTTGGCACAGATAAAACATTAGAACAAGTCAAAACACAGCCTCTTTATTTTCCTGACTTTTGTCTGCCACTTCCTAAGCTAGAATTTTAAATGTCAGCTTTTCAAACTGTGGCATTTTCAGAGAAGTGTTATAGCCTGGATCTTACTGAATGGAAAATTTATTTCCAGTTCAAAGGGTTTTAAAACAAAACAGGAAAGGCCAAGACAAATGAAAAAGACTGGGGGAACAGCAGCTGAAACTCTTCTCTAATTAGATTTTCACATGTCTCTGTCAGCATCTTTTCTCCCTAGGGAAATTGGAAGAAAAATTGAAATCTGAATCTTGCATGCCTTAGAAATGGCTCCCTTCCCTGGCAGCACCTGTAGACACCATGGGTTTTGTGGCTGTGGACAAAATGAAGACAAGAGAAAAAACATTAATTAGAGCACAAATTTTGACACTTGAAACAGGGCTGTTCTAAAATGCTGTCAATCTTTTCATCTTCCTCTGCTACCTCAGATATGCAGAGGAATATACCTCGGACTGAAATAGACTTGAACTACATGACCACAAATATACTCAGAGATGATAAAGCCAGCAGGGTCACTATGGTGGTACAGTTTTAGCCATGTGAACAGCTTTTGTCCCAGTGCTGTGGCTTTACTGTTCAAAAACATCATCTCTTTTTTAGTAAGAAAAGGTGACTAAAACCCAAGTGATGATGGACCTAGAGGAACTGGGAGAGCTTCTAAGGGTACTTCAGGGATCTCTATCTTTGCTCTAAAGTCCAGCACTGTGCGCTTGAGAGAATATATGCCCCCTCTGGATGGAGTCAGAGCTGAGGAGGTCATATATGTTCACTTCTGTCTGTAGAGGCATATACCATTTGATGCCTTCTGTTGGCTCAAACAGTCAGGGGTGCTCAAACCATGTTTGAAACTGCACACATTCAAATAACTCAGCTCCACAAAGGACATAACTCCATACTTAAAACCATCTCCTGTGTTCCTAATGGCTCTTCATGAGGACCCGTATGATCCCCCTAGCTTGATCCTCTGTATAACACAGGTGGCAGCCCTAGCCTCAGCACTTTGTGTCTCAAAGAACATAAGCAGGTGTTTAAACTTCTAGTAAAGCATCCAGTGAAGAATTTGTGGAGAGCTTTGCTGAATGGAGGCCTTAGTAGTTTGCATTGCTCAAGCACCTTTCTTAGGCTTCCCAATGTGTAACTGAAAATTCTAGATATTAACAAGTTAATTACTAAAAGAAACTTAGTCAAGAACTACCCAAGGGCAACCTGGAGCTGAGTTAGCATGCAAGATCCTTCTGTTTCCTTCTAAAAAGATACTCATGTTAGCCTTCTCAGAAATGTCTTGGCACCTTAGGGTTCCTTTGCCCTCTCTGGTGCTCTCAAGAGGAGAACAGGGAGTTGCTGTCTTTACCTTCAAGACACCAGAAAGTAAATGGCATGAGATATCTGTAGGAATCCCCAGACACGTGACTCTGTCAAGGCACGTCTTTCCCCTGCCACACTTTCTGTCTGGGATCCTCCAGAATAGAGCAACACAGTTATTTTTGTCTCATCCATTTGGAAGGAATGGAGCTTCCTTCAGGGTGCCAGGGCAGCATAATGACTACAGTTTCAGCCTATAAAAAGAGAGCATATGGGAAAATTTGTCTCTCTTGCCATTTCCAGGTATAGCTCTGCTCCTCCCACCTTCCATTCAGACAAGCCTCCACTATTTCTGCCTTCACAACAAGTTATAAAAAGACTGAGAGAACTTGAGGAACATAAAGATTATGTTACCATTCCCTCTCACACTCTCACACACACACATTTCCATTTCTGATGTGGAAGCCTGCCTGATGCCAACCATTTACACGGGTACCTGGCATTCTGGTTGAGTATCAAGAGGACTGTTTCTCAAGGGAAAAGTAAAACAACACAAAAGCAAAAAAGGAAAAGGAATCCAAACCAAAGTAAATTAAATGTCCTTTCAGCGAATTTTATGAACTGCCCTCAGCTATTAATTTACCAGCATTCTTACAGACAGTGGCAGCTGCTTCAGCACGGCAGGCTCTGGAGTGAGCTGCTCCATAGCAACAGCCAGCAAGCGTGAACATACCTAGCATAAGCATCATGCAGAGCCACTGAAGGGGACTTTCAAAAGGAGTAAGAATGCTTCAAGTTAAAACAAGCTACTGCATCTTACCTGAAAGGGAGAGGATCTATAGCAGCCATGGCTGTTTAGTAGGTCAGTGTAGGGTGTGTAACAATTCAGCTAGCAGAAACTGCCCTTGCCATAGGCATATCACTGTCCTGTGATATGAGAAAGTCTTACAGGTGTTTCTAGTATGTGTGACATAAGTTATATGGAATTTTTTATATGCAAGCATGGCTCACTTCTCTGTCTTTTGAACAGGCTTGCAACCAGAAAAAGAAAAAAAAAAATTGTGTGTGTAAAGCTGAATAAGGAAATTACATCTCTCCCATCTTCTGGATTTTAAAAGCCTTTTTGGGCTGGGTGACAATGACACAGAGTTTGATGAAGCTGCATGCACCAAGCTGGAATGCAGTTGCAGGAGTGGAAGATTAAAACTGTTTCAGGATTGTTTCACATTAGCGGATCCCTGTTTTAGCATGGAGAATACAGATCCCTGATATCCTTGGCTTTTGGTTTGCAGTGGGGTTTGTTTGTTTGTTTCCCAACTGTGATTTTTATTTATTTATTGTAATTTATTGTAACAATTCTGAAACATGCTAGATTAGCAGCCCAAGAGACTAATGTCACAAAGCTTCAGTCTGAGTTATACCACAATCCTACTTTGCTGGGATTATCTCTGGGCAGAAGGAGAAGAATTTAATCAGCTCTGTCAATTCATTAGCCCTTCCCTTCTGGGGCAGGCACAAAGGGTTCCACTTGCTGTCAGTAGTCTTGGTAGCTGTTCTGAAATAAATACAAATCCACCTCATTTTAAATCAGGCCACTGAGCAAGTCATAAACTGCTGTAAGCTGTCATTATCATGTGAGGCTAAAGCAGTTCTTTTGACACCCCACCACTTTGATATAGTTGACCCTTCTCTGAGAACTTCTCTGTTTTATTATCTTCCTGCTTTTTATGGTTTAAAATACAAAAGTTCACAACATAGGTTGTTCCAAAGATTTGTGAGGCAATCTCAATAGCTACTCATGGAGTGTTTGCTGAGATGAGCACCATTCCCCACTATAACCCTGCTTCTCACTATAAGGAAACCCAGGGGAAGGAGCCAGCATATTTTTCAGAAAATCCCCTAATCCCCCTGATAATTGTGAAAGCAGGGCTAAAGCACACACCTTGGAGGACACGTCCTTCATGGTGCAGCTGAGTCAACTTCAAGAGGAGGTCACTTTCTCTCCACTGACTACTGAGCAAGTTGATGAAGTAATCACCTTTCCTCTGGTAACATCAGACCTTGTGACTATTCTCTGGTTGGTTTAGGTCACCCCATTGATTCAGTCTCTCAAAAGAAAAGCAGAGTCTATTCCAACCTTTTCTCTTTTCTATGACCACAGGGAGACCTCCAGAGATCCCTCATTCAGGTGGACTTTGGAGATGGCATCGCTGTGTCATATGCCAATCTCAGCTCGACAGAAGATGGGATCAAGCACGTCTACCAGAACGTGGGCATATTCCGAGTGACTGCACTGGTGGAAAACAGCCTGGGTTCTGACAACGCTGTCCTCTACCTGCATGTAACATGTATGTATGCTCATATTCATTGTTAGCTTCTGTCATTCTTTAAAAAAATATTACTTGTCCTTAGAGATGACATTTGGGGCTTTGGAGCTGGGAGCAGAATGATGGGATATGATATTTGTCTCTCCCCTGGCAGAGAACTCCAAACTGAGAGGAGCCACAGGCAATAGTCACATTTTCTTTTCAAACCATGTTCTACCTCTAATTTTGGGTAGTCTAATTTGGGACACCTCAAAGGAGTGTCCAGCCCTTTCTGAAATGCACCTTTATTAACATGCTTACACTTCCAGATAAACAAAGATATCCAGGATCTTTAATCACTTTCAAAAGCCTTGACTTTTACATTGTACTGTGTTTTGCCCTCTAATGAAATACAACCACCTCTGGGATGGAAACCAGTGCATTTGAGTCTTTCTGTTGTCATAGGAACCAAAATCTTGGTGTTAAAGAGTATTACAAGAAAAAATGTTATCTTCACATTGCTCCTCTGCTGTTCCTTTTAACCTTTTTATACTTCAGCTGTCTCTGATTTACAGCTGAAATATATCTCAAGTCCTTGCATAAAACCAGCAATGTGTTCTTTCATATGTATTCTATCACATGGTTATGAACCCGAAGGGTCAACCTATTACTGAAATTTTGTAACATCTGTAATGTTTTTTTTGTTTGGGGCCATCATTTTCTTTATACGGTGAGGGTTTTTTGTTGGTGATTTATGTTTTCAACTGTGTGCCTCTGTGCCAGATTTACTGAAAAAAAAGGAAATTCCAAAATTTAAAGTTATGCTAACAGAAATACCACTTACCTTCTCCCAAATTAACTCCACATATTGTCTAGATAATTTATCATATTCCATATACTTTAACACTAGTTTTGGAGTTACTTCTTACAGCATGAAAGCAGCTGCCTCTTCAGTGGAAGAGGGCAGGTCTTCAATGGTGCACTGTCATATCAACAGATGGAAGCAGTGGGAGGTATAGCTGTGGGAGACAGGGCGTTTATAAGGAGCACGAGAGAAGTAGGAGCAAATATCTCCCCAAGAGCCTCACTTCAAAAAGACCTTCAGTTCATGATCATAGTGTACCATTTATGATTCCCTAACCTGATGAATCCCACTCTGTGGCAAACTGTTATGTCATATCATCCCTGAGTACACCACATGTTTGGAGAGTTCATAATACCTTGAAAAAATAACTGTATTCATAAGTTAGCTTATTGTGAAGCCTGGGATTTTGATCTGGGGACTTACCACTTCAGTGCTGAGGCACCGATGAATCAAAGTAAATTCTCAGCTTTTAGACAGCTACTGATTTTTTATTTTTTTTTCCTGGGGGGGGTGTGTGGTGTGGTGGTGTTATTTAAGTATCATCCTAAGTAAGGTAGTGAAAAGGGCCTCTGCTCAGAATTGACATATATAACTTCAGTGTCATTTCTTCAGTTCTGGAGTCATATTCTAGTCTGCCTCCCTGCGTGTGCTTGGGTAATTATCACAGGAGCTGCTGTGGGCTCTGAATGCAGAAATCCTCCTCCCACTGCTGTTGGTAATGAAAGTCAGCTCAACAGGAGCCATGGTCGTCTTTTTTTTTTTATTTTAAATCTCTGTAAAGGTCATTGGAAACAAATGGAGAAGTGTTTTGGTGGTTGATTTTTCGCAGGAGGTTCTGACAGCCTCTTGTAAGCAGGGTTTGTAATCGTTCACTGTTTGACAAGAAACTATTCCATGGGGACAGTTGCACACCCTCAGCCTATCTGCAAAATAATGAGGCCACTGAAACAACAGCTGCTTTCGCATGCAACAGCTACAAAATGGAAGAAGGCAGGTGTCCAGCTTTCACTCTCGCTCATAGTGGCTTTCTGCTTTATAGCCGTTTTAATCCATTTTCTTGAGACATTAAAGGCTTAAGAACCATTTTGATTGTTTAAGGAGTACAGGGAATAAACAATATTCAGGCATGTTCGTGTGACTTAACAACTGATAGTGTATGTTTCTGTGTTTTACATGCGTAATGCCAGCATAGGACTTAAATACTGCATGATTGTTGCAACCAGGCGCAGATAATACGTGCCTGACCCCCTGGAGAAGTGACAGCTCTACGGGATATGTCTTACTTTTCTCTACATGACACGAATTAGGGACTTCAAAACAGGTTGCAGACAGAGCAAGGTGCCACTCAGACTAGCAATAGATTTTCTGAGGACAGAGATGTGCAATAAATCTACTCCCCTCCAGACCCTAACACCCAGAACCACAAAAACTTCTAAATCCTATTTAAATGCTTGCATTGCCACTCAGCTCCCTGATGAGTATTCCACTTGGGGTGTATGAGCTTGGCCCTTGGGGAGTTGTGTAAAATTATCTGTCCTTACAATAGACACACACACTGTATTGCTAAGATCCACAGAAAAGCAGTGTGCAGCCTTGATCCAGAGAGTTTTAGGAAGGGCTACTGTCTTGGTGACCCCTTGTTACAGGGTTAATACATGAGTGTGTGCAGCCAGGCCTGGGCCTTCCAACACCCTTCCTTTCCTATGGCCAGCAGCCTTGCTGAGGGGAGAACTGCAGGCACTGAGCCGGTGCTTGTGATCTCAAAGTTGAGTTCAGCCTCCATCCCATGCCCTCCTCATCATGCTGCAGCCATGGGGCCAGTGCACAGTTGCAGCATCTTTACTGCAGTTGGTCCAGGGATGCAGAAATGCAGGTTATTGTGAGACAGGAGCATTTTGGGATGGATGGACAGTAAATTGTATAATATATAAACTGCTTCTCCAGGCCACAGGCTGTCTCTGAACTGTCCTGACTGGTCAAAATTTTCCCCTGCAAAGTTAGTTATGCATTTGCCTGAATGCTTCAGGATAACGTCACCTGCCCAAGTGAACCTTTTGAGAAGCTTCTCCCTTTCTGTTGTCTTTGACTTGTTTTTTCCTGGGGCAGGCGAAGGTCTGTAGTCCCTATCACCCTGCTTGAAGCTCAGAAATGGATTCTCTTGAATTCCCTTCAGCCTTACCTGGGAGAAAGCAGTCTGCTACCAAGATAAGAACCTATCCAGAGTGAGCTATCCCCATCTGCTGGCCAGATAATAGTTCGGCATTTCAGCCACTTTGACCCATCAACTATGTGCACAGAAATAGGCAGAACTGGCCTTTCATGTTCTTTCCTAGATGGCATATGGTGGAGATGCTGGGCACTCTCTGCAGTGCAGGATCATTTGAGATGTATTCAGAGCAGCTATGCAGTTATGTTGGAGTGTATTAGACTTTATATGGGCTCCGCTGTCATCGCATACAGTGTTTGGAAATGTATTTCTTTAGAGGGCTGTGCTTCCATTGGGTGTTTGGCAAACATCCTAAAGGATACCAGGGTTGCAAAATATTTAGCTTGGGAAGCTGATATTTTTCAGATCTGAGGGTCTTGCTGAAAGCAGGCATGGCCCTGTCATGGAAACGTATCTGAGCAGGGGAACGCAATTAAAATAATAAGGGTAAAATTCTGGCTTCTCATGAATTTTCAAGAAGGCTGTTGAATGCTGATTTTAAAAAGAAAAATGAGCCACAGTCTGGTCTATAGCAGGCTTTGGTTAGTCTGATCATGGATTGCTCTTAATTGGGCTACTTCAGGTTAAGCAGCAGCTGTGTCTACAGCCCAGAGAAAGCTGCATTTCAGTAATAAGTCTGGAACACTGGTCCTTGTTTATTCTGGCATTATATATACAGTTTGATTTGGGAGATTTTTTCATATCTCTCTCTCTCTGCCTATGTATGCTGTATAGGGGTAGAGGGGGCTTGCTCCAAAATGTGTGTTTTTCCTTTAGGTTAAAGCAAGGTCTAAGTGGTGATACGCACATGGGTTATGTCTTGAAAAAATCCTCTCCTGAAATATATGAAATCCTCTAGCAATGTTTCTCAACTCCATAAGGACAATGCAATCAATCCTCCCTGGCTGTGGTCTCTGCTTCCTCTCTCTGGGGAGCCTGCAGATATAAGACATGTAGATGGGCCTTAATTTGTTTAAAGAAACCCATGTCCCCATGTCACCTGGGGTTTCTTTCTTTCTCTGTCACACTCAGGACAATTGCTTTATTCTCTAAGTGAACAGTCAGAACACATTTTAAAAAATAATCTATAGGACAAGATGTAACAACAAAGGCCTCCCTCCAAAGATGGGAAATCTGTAACCCTAGGCATAATGTCACTTGTCGACTTAAGTATGTTCTATTTATACTAAAGAAATAAAAGAATTTATTGAGGAGAAGGAGGGAGTATAAGGTAACATTATAATGAAGTCACTCAGTGAATTGCTGCCTTGAGATAGAGTTTCAGCTGATATAAATAGGTACACCACTGCTGATAGCAGTTTGCATCAGCAGAGGTGTTTCATGTCCACTGAAACCGTTTGTCCTGCACATTTGTATGTCTTCCCAGTGAAGGCCATATTCACATAACAGGGCTCTGATACTTGTTTAAGTTGCATATAAAGATCCCGAGTATAAGATGTTCATGCAGTAGAGAGACCCAAGTTTTTCAGCTCCGGGTACAGGGGTAGCTCCTGTTCTATGAGGAACAGATTTAAGCTTGCCTCTCTAGAAATGACAAAGCAAAAACATTGACTGTCATGCCCCACAGTGATTTGGAGGACTTATCTCCCCTAAACCAATGGATATCCCCTCAGTTCTGTTCTCCCTCAGGTTGGCATTTTGGACAGAGAAATGACTCATCTGCTGCTTCTGTCTCTGCAGGTCCTCTGGAACATGTTCACTTATCTCTACCATTCGTCACCACAAAGAACAAGGAGGTCAACGCCACGGCAGTACTGTGGCCAAGCCAAGTGGGAACACTTACTTTTGTCTGGTGGTTTGGGAACAACACAGAGGTTTGTATTCCCTATGGACTGAGATCAAAATAATCCTGAAGGATCTGTCTGACTGAGGAGGGAGAAAGGGATCTGGGAATACTTCTAAAAATAGTCACACAAGAAAAATATAAACCAGAGACCAAGACACTAAGGGTGCTTTGACATATCAACACTGAAATGAAGGAACTGCTTTGTGTTTGTTTCTGTGACTTAGTTGTAAATTTTATTGCTATTTCATGCAAATTACCAAAAGATTTCTCCCTACATTTATATCCAAGGTGGATGTAGTGAAGCAAAATCTAGAAGAGTTTGTAGTGTGTTTTTCCTCACCCTCCCTTCTTCAATAATAACAATAAAAAAACTTTGGGGTTTTGATTTTTTATTTTTTTTTTTTAGGAAATAACTTTTCAAGCTGTAGCTGTTTTTATATCTGGAACTGACTTTACATAGCTGTAGAGTTAAACCTCATTTCTCTGGTGACTAGCAAGGGAAGGGGCTGACATCAGTTCTGTGCCCCCCCTTAAATACACTGAGCCCAATCCTGAGTCCCCACACTCTATGCTAAACCACATGTGCTATTGGTGGATAAAATGCTTCCCAACACATGTCCCTGCCTCTGGGCTCCACTCAGATATGAGAACAGCATGCACCACATTCTGCTGCCTCTGTGCTTGCAGTGTTGGTAAATCTGCACGAGCATTATAACTGCTATTTTACCTGTCTTTGAGGCTGAAGTGCTCAGAGACCCTAATTAGTTCATGAGGGGCAAGATTCTTAATGGATTTTGTTGAGCCAAGTGGGACCTTCAACCACACATGGTTATCTTCTGTATAATGCAGGTCAGAGAGTTTCATCAGTACCTTCTGCTTTATTTAACTTTTTGTGATTAAGGCAGAACCTGACTTTGTGGTGTTGTTGTTTTGCATTAATAAATTCCATCAGATGGTAGAGAATTTACTGCTGCTCTTTTTTACTCTCTCTCCCAACTATTTCCCCACACCTAATTATACTGAGCATTGAACACATTGCACCATGTTTGTAGTCTGAATTTATCTAGCTTCAGTTTCAAGCTGTTGGATCTTGTTATGCCTTTGTGTGTAGATTAAAGAACTCTCTGTACTATCAAAAATCATCTCCCCCTAGAGGTACTTACAGGCAGTGATTGTCACCTTTTAACCTTCCCTCTGATCTGCTAAGCTCATAAGTGATCAGAGTTGGTCTAACTCTGTTCTCATTGAAGTGAGAGTTTTATAGGCAACAATGGCAACAGAGTTTGTCTTAATACTGGGTGCTTTGAAGATCTCACCCAGAGTTCATTAATAAGCAAAACCAGAAGTTAGGGCAGAGACTGCTGAAAGGGGACACAACTCGTTGATATCTGGTTGCATCGTAAAGCGAGCGGAGGGGATCTGTGTCCTCTCTAAACACCATCACTTTCCAAAAATGATATCTCCCTGTCTAAGGATAACATGGGAGAACAGCTGAGAAATCTTAATTTGCCTCCTGGTTCTGTCACAACCTCCTTGAGTCACCTTAAACAAATCACTTACAGCTAGATCTGGGAAGGGAGTGTGACACCTGAGCAGTGATTCGTACAGGCCTTTGTATTAGGATCTGGGCCTCTCTGGGGAGTGCAGCAGTGATGAACACTTTAACATGGGATCCAGAATGGTCAGCATGCTAAGTGGGACGGAGATGCTGGGATCTTAAAACTTAGCTCATTTGGAAATTATAGATATACTTTGAGCTTCAGGAGGACATCACCATATGAATCCCTGGGTCCTCTCTAGAAAATTGGCTTCTGTGTCACAGGGCTTCTTCTAAGTCTTAAGTTTCCAAGCTGGAACTGACACCCCAAACCATCCCAAGAGGCTAGAGAGTCGAACGCATTTTTGCTTTTCCTTGCCGACCAAATTAACTTAATTTCTCCTTTTCTGGTATATTTGCAGCCACTGATCACATTGGAAGGGAGCATCACGTTCACATTTTCTGTGGAAGGGATGAACACCATCACCGTTCAGGTCTCAGCAGGAAACACCATTCTTCAGGACACAAAGACCATTGCTGTGTATGGTAAGCTCTTCCCCCTTCATTTCACATACAATTCTCTGTAGTAAAGAGCTAGAGAGCCAGGTTAGCTGTCAGCAATGTGAGGTCCTTATTACAGGATGCTTTGAGTGAGCTTATAAACTCGGTTCTAGAATTATCAGTTCAGCATGACATTTCTGAAGGCCACTGACTGACATTAGTCTAGACTGAGGTGACTGCAGAACACTGATCCTCCTTCTCAGAGCCCTCTGCATCTGCTCTATCAATATTTGGTCATCCTACACGATTGCCAAAATGTTAGGTTGTATTGCAAGGTGGTTTTCCCCCTTCTTGGCCAGCAGAGGCCTCTTAACTCATGCAAAAGCTTCTTAGCTTGAAAGATAAGTCAATGCTGTGTGCTGCAGTTCTGTATAGAAATTTGTACTAATTTGATATTGTATTTGGGCCTCAGAAGCAGTCAGGGCACACAAATATCTAGTGTAGATGAGGCCTAAGAACCACTGGGAATCCCAGTTTTGGCTGTTTATCCTAAGCACATGGTCAAGTGAGCAATGTGGGCATCTCTGTTAACAGCAACAGATTAAGAAGTTTTCCAAGGCTAGTCCTCTCCCCACCTTTATCACTGTCCCCTTTCAGTTAAGATTTCAAGTGTTTGGGTCATGTCTGTGAGAGTACAATCACAGCTTCTTTCACAGAGCTTGCCTGCTTCAGAAGTCAAGTTGAGGTAGCATTTCATTTACATTTCCTTTTCAGTGCTATTTATCCACTGAAGGAAGGACTGATCACGTTTTTCAGTTCTGTGACACTTGAGCAGCGAATCTGAGATTCTCTGAATCTCTCAGTAAATCTCTCAGACACACTGCTGGATTCTCTGACAATTTGTGCATCACCTGCAGATTGATTAAGCAAAACATGAGCTAGCAAGTTTCACTAGGTTCTGCCCACCTGTTTGGCACTAAGGCATTTCAGTCTTTACTCATCACCGTGTCTTTGTATCCGCAGAGCAATTTCAGTCCCTGCGGTTATCATTCTCTCCAAACCTGGATGACTACAATCCAGATATCCCAGAGTGGAGAAGGGACATCAGTAGAGTAGTCAAGAAAGCTCTGGTGGAGGTAAGCAATGTGCATAACCTGTGTTACAGTGGTTCTAATTTCTGCTTTGTGCCTACATTAGGACTAGATCAGATGTTCTCTCAAGGTGTTTCTCAGTTTCTACCAAATATAAAAAGAGCCTAGACTAGTGTTTTAGGCCAGAATCCTAAATTTTAGGTGAAATTATCCCATTCTATAACAATCTGGTGCTCAGAGCCAGCTTTCAGTTTGTTCTTTTTAGTAACAGTGTGAAATATTTCTGAGAAAAGGCCATATAGAAAAAAAATTACTTATATTGACCTATAGCTGTATAAATGTCTTTACTGCTGCATAGCAATTCTTCTTTTACTGATGTTCTTATACAGCAGTGTAAAGTAATGCTATTCTAATGGAATTACAAATATGCTGTAGGAAATTTAGGAGACCAAAACCCCCCAGTTTTTACTACAAAGCACCACAGTAAGTTCTTTATGTCTCTCATATAGCACAAGGTTCATGAGTCAGGATTGGATGCTGTTTTTCCTGTCAACAGTATGGAGAAGCTCTGAAGTTCCTGTGGAACAGAATGTCATAAAAATATTCTTGTGTGGCAGAAGATTTGGATTTCAAACTGAGAGGCTAAGAAAAGTTAGAAACAGCAGCTGGGTTTCTCAGCTCAGCAGAAAAATAGAGAAAGGAACTGCTTGAAACAGGGTTTCTGCTTTTTAAAAATAAAGATACTCAAGATTTCAAAAGGATAGAAGTCTTGTAGATGTTATTAGCAAGCTTATATGTTTATTCATGGTATCATCTGTGCAGAAAGACTGGAAAGACACTGCAGTAAACAGGTGCACACAAACTTGTCTGGATTGTTTCTGATATTTTTTTCTTCAATATTTTCAAAAGACGAGAGGAGAGGAGGAAAGGAAAAAAAATGAACATTTTTCTTGAGCTTGTTCTTCTGACTTATGTCTGTATCAAGTATTCATTTGTCTTCAGGATGAATTTTCAGAATATAAACAACTTGATCAAACAAAAGCCATAAAGAAAAGAATTTTAAAAATATAGTACAAAGGCTACATTCCAGAAGCAAAACAGTGAAAACACAGAGTCTTTTTGTTGTTTGGGGAAAAAAAAAACCAATAAAATTGGATAGCTAATTATCCCTCTTTATATAGCTATATGATTCACCTTAAACAAGCCTTTGTGAGAAGTTCCTGTAAAAAATAAAGATAAAACCAATAGATTTCTACAGCAATTAAGTAAACTGTATAAAAATGAGTTGAATAACTAAATAATTCAATAGGAAATTATAGCTGTGCTATAGAATTTTTATGAACTTTTATTAAAGTATTACATTCTTATTACAGAGTACCACAGACCTGGATAAAAATTCTGCATAAGAAATTATAGTTCTTGACTAAAATCTGATCTTCTCTCTAAGTAGGGATAATTTCATATTATCACAACATAGGATAATTTCTATTACAATCATAATTATTTGCTCACATCAAATGAGTTACTGAGTCCTGTCTCCCACTTTGGATGAAGAAGAAGACAAGAACGAACTGAGTAGATCAGCCAAAAGTTTCCAGACCAAAAAAAAAAAAAAAAAAAATCATTCTCAGCCTCTGAAAATGAAGACTTTCCATTAACTGGTAATACCATGTCTTTTTCTTGATGTCTTAAAACAACCTGTTAGGCAAGCACAAATAATGCAAGCCCCGGCCTCACAGAATACTTGGAAAGAATGAGACCTTTATGTTGTTACAGGTTTTTTTTCTAAATCCATTTTAAAAAACACAACTGCTCCAACTCTTAGCTTCAGAACTACTAGGGAGAAGAATTCATGAGTTTTAGATACAGTTAATGTCTGAGAGGGTTGCAAGTCCTGAATCTCTGTGCTGCATACAGCTGCTGTGGTCTGTCCTTGTATCTGAGGGCACTCTTTTTTTTTTTTTTTTCCCCTTTAAAAGTGATCTACTAAATTCAGAACTTGGAAACTCAAGGTTTAAATCAAAACCTTGAGATTTAAATGCATTTGCTGGATAATCCGCAACACAAAGAGACAATGAAGGAAGATTCAGCAAACTGTTTCTCTTTCTTTTGACTCACAAAACTTCCTGAAGGCCAAGCTAGCTCCTTTTCTGGAGAATAACTCTGCAATCTGGTTGTGTAATGTCATGTAACAGCAGCTGAAACCTGTGACCAGAGATGACCCTCATAGTGATGCCTGTGGGGTAATTTTTTTCTGAATTTGGCTAATTTGCATGGAAGGGAGATTTGAGTTTTGTTTAAAATTTTCAGCCAACAAGACAAAAAATATAAATCTTTAACACCTAAAGAAAGAAATAAATGGTCTTCCATTCACTTGTGGAGTTGACCCAGGATGTGAACTATGAGAATTTGTTTGGCTGTTGGGATTCAAACTTGATTCATTATCTTCTCTCTCTCTGACTCTCCACAAGGCTTTTAAGATGTTTTGGCTAATCATACCTCTAAAGTGCAGTTTTGCCCATATACCTTGCCCTTTAACGTGCAGCTTTTTATCACTGACTAAATGAAGAACCTCAGGGACTAACTTGAGCTAGTCAGATAACTTTAAAATAGCTAATTTTAGACAAAGCAAATGGTATATATGCAAATGTTATTTAGGAGCTCCTTTTAGCATGTCTGATTATCACTGTTGTCTTAGGACCCTGCATATTTTACTGGACGACGTGGTAAAGTAGCTTAGATTAGGAAATGACTAATCCCTAACTTTTTACCTGCATTGGTTTTTAACAAGATTCTCCCTGTTTTACCAGATGTACCCTACATCGCTTGTATAAGTACTGTGATGCCTTAGCAAAGAAGCTTTCAGCATTCAGTGTCATCCCCACTCTTTATCTGTCCATTCTTTGTCTGTGTATCAGGCAACAGGTATTGCAAGCAAGCATATTCTAGTCGCAGTGCTCCCTGGTCTACCCACTTCTGCTGAACTCTTCATTTTGCCATATCAAGATACCACAGGGGAAAATAAAAGAACAGCAGGAGACCTAGAGCAGGTATTGTGTCTATTACTTGGTGTGTGTGTTTATGCATTTGTGTGTGTGTGTGTATATATATGTATATATATATATATATATATGTATGTATGTGGGATTTCCAAGACAAGTTAGAACGAGTAATTGTGGTACAAATGCATCTGATTACTGGAGTCTAAATAATGACTGTGGTACATGCTGCCTTCTCTTTGGGTTTTTTGGTTGGTTGGGTTTTTCTTATTGTTGTTTTTCTCCCAAGCACTGGAAACGGGCTTTGGAGCTGTATTTAGGAGTGGAAACTCCCATTTGGATTCCCTCAGTAATGTTAAGTTGGCATAGATTTTATGATGTCATGTTCTCTCCCTTAATAGTTCCGTTCTACTTCATGGAAGTAGGAAGAAAGCAGGAAGGATTTAGGGGATGATTCCTGCCACCATAAACTGGAGGAGCCTCATAAGGCAAAGTTTATGAGGCTGTCAAAAATCTAGAAAACACCAGAGGACAGAGCTGGGTGGTAGATATGGGCAGATCAGAACTTCATTACTTTAAGGCACAGGGATGGGGTTGGATTATCTGCCTGCCCTCTGCATGATGCTGGCAGTGGGGTTCAGCCGCTATGGATTGTTTTTTCTGTGCAAGGCTGAAGCAGGTTATGACAACTGGAGGACAATATCTCACTGCAGACTCTAAAGGTCCTGCCCACCAGGTGGGCCTAGCATAATTGTGACTAAAAGATAAAACAGTGTGCTGGGCAAAAATTCTGAAATCTCTCTCAGCATATTACCTCAGATTCCAGGCACAAAGATAACTAGCCCTGAATGAAGCACGACTGTACCTCTGCTTTTCCATACAGCATGTCCGTTCGTGGCTCAAGCAGATGTACCCCATGTTGGTATGGGCTATATGAGCATTGGGGTAGAGGGTGTCATCAACTCATAAATATCAGCCTCAGTGCTATGGTGAAACCCTCAGCATTACTGGATGCCTGCTGCTCCACTGGATGGCACAAGGGTTTTAGCATTTCTCTTTGGATTTGTCCCTCAATTTGTGAATGAGTGAAGTCTTCCTATCAGTGCATGTATCAACACTATCTTCCCCTTGTATTCCTATTTTCTAATAGCCTTTTCTGCCTGGCCTGTTTTTGCTGTTGCAATTGTCTCTTGGAGTGGTCTAAAGCCTTGTTAACTTAGCCATGGGCCTCAAACCACTAGGTTACCCATATTCTTAAGCCTTGCTCAGCATCCTTAAATATCATCTTTTTTTGTCAAATTACTTTCCTCTGCAATTTTCACCACCCACATAATAAACAAGAAAGATGAAGATTCAGTGCTCTGCAAACCCTTTCTCCTCTTTCTCCTTCATCACCCTCTCCTTTCCTCCATCACAAATTGGCAAAGAAGCCAGTCCATAAACTTTCAAATTTAAATCTGACCTAGCTCCCCTCCATCACTCAGCACCCTACTGTATTTTGACAATTACTCCCTCACTTTGTCCCTTTCTCTTTTCCCCATGTAAAATGGAGTCTCTGGGCTGTGGAGAAAAGAAGCCCTGGCAATCCTCTCATGACCCTTTTTATGGACAAGAGGAAATGCCATTTTCAGTAAGACACCAGCAGCTTCTCTCTCTGGCATCCTGCAGGGTCTAAACAGTAACCTTTGAAGAGAGAGAAACTATTTGCCATTTGCAGCCAGCTGTTTCTTGTGGAGGAGTATCTCCCCTGCTCCCATCAGGACAATCAGAATGTTTTTCTTAGTAGTCTGTGGGTACTGTATTCCCCTTCCTAGTTACTCTAGTAAAAAAAATGCATTTTTCTTTTAGTGGGAACTGCCTAAGGAAAGTCCCAAAAGGTGTCTCTGCCCTCAGGTCTGAAGCATGTTATGATACTGTTCCTGTTTTGTCATCCATTTGGCCTGTGATCCTTCACTATCCCTTTCCTAAAGTATTTCAGAGACCATTCAACAGCTTCTCCCTGTGCCTGAAGTCACTGGGAATGAGTACTGGGAGCAGATGTTTTTC